AATACGGATTCGAAAAGGGCATCTATTCTCTGCATAGCAAAGAGATGGCAAAGAGTCATTGATAAATTTCACAAAACCACATGAATTATTAAAGTAAAACCTACCAGCTCTGCGACTCATTGATGAAATACCCATGTCAACGTCTTTAGATCGAGCATTCTGAAAGAGAAGTGTAAATTTTCAATTCAAACAATAATGCTTACCTCCAGAGCGCGAGAGCGATTGAAAGCTGCGAAACGAAGCAATTCAGCAAACCTTGGTGACTCTGTTGGAGCCAACATCTTGCTCGACTGAGGGACCTGAAACTAACCGAGGCGAGTGAATTTGAGATAAGCAGCATTTGAACCTCCATTTGAACCACCCACAAATCAGAGCTCAAGTTTTTAATTAAAAAATTCAAAGTTTACCCCAACTAACACACTTCAGCGAGTCTAGCTTTACGACCAGATACCTACTCCTAACAAAATTGTCTGAATCGATCAACGCGTGAAAGCAACTATCAATTTTAAAGTCAATGGATGAAGTTGAAAAATCGGTTAATCGGTAATACATAGGCCTGACACCTGATGATCACTGATGCTAAAACCTAATTTAATGTCATTCTGACCTATGAAGTTAAAATTTAACAAATGAGCCATTTCAAGGAGCTAGAATTTCAAATCTTGAATTTTGATCAAACAAGAATTTAAAAAAAATTTATTTTAGCTTGAAAAAAGCATAACCAAACAGAACATATGAAAAACAATCATCATTGCCTGACGTTGATGAGATGATAATTGGAAACGGGCAACTAAAAATTAAAAAAGTTGGTTGATTGTCGTGATGGAAGTTGCAATTTAGATTATCTAATCTCAAAATTTCAATAATTCTTAATACAAATCTTATTTAAAGCAACCTAAACGATTTATTTACCTTTCTATATTCTGTACTTTTGTATTAATAATCATAAAGGATTGTAAGAAAGAATAGGATCATAATGAAAGTCAATTATACAATGATAACTATTAGGTTGGTGCAAAAGAAATTTCGGTCGATATAAAATGTTCTTATTTTTTTAATCTGAAGAGCTTATTTGATGTTCTTTTGTGCATTTGTACTCTTGGATATTTACTTTATTTTCGCATTTTTTCAAAGTCAGAGCTTTCACTTTTTAATTGATTTTTGCTTTAGATCATGGTGGATCAAAAGTATGTTCTGCGCACGTGTCTTCTCTATGACTTCAAAATGGGCAAAAACGCTGCTGATTCACATCGTGATCTCTGTTCCGCCTTTGGAGAACAGGTTATCACCGAAAGATCATGCCAGCTCTGGTTTGCCCAATTCCGAGATGGTAATGAATCCCTTGAAGACGAATCGCATGGACATCGTGCCACAGCCATCGACAACAATGAATTGGAACAATTAATTGAAGCTGATCCAATGCAAACAACACGAGAACTTGCCAAACATCTCAATGTGATCATTCAACAATTGTACGCCATTTGGAAATAATTGGAAAGACAAATCGTAATGGACAATGGGTTCCACATCAATTGAGTGTTGAGAATCTGGAAGCACGCGTTTCGATCAGCCATATCTTGCTCCATAAGTCGAAAAGAAGCCATTTTTTTGAGAATATCTTGACGATGGATGAGAAGTGGATTCACTTTGATAATACTTCTCGAAAAAGGCAATGGCTGAGCAAAGGTCAAGCGCCAATTCCAACTCCAAAGCCGGATTATCATGGGCGCAAAGTGATGTTGTCTTGCTGGTGGAATATCACCATCCAAAATGAACAAGTCAACAAGTCATGGACTTGTTCATTTTGAATTATTAGAGCCCGCAAAAACAGTCGATTCATCTTATTTTATTCAACAACTCAAGAAGGTTGACGAAATTTTGCGTGAAAAAGGCCTAAATCCCTCAACTATCAACTTTCTCCGTGATAATGCTCCAGCTCACACGGCAAAAACCTCTTGTAAGGAACTAGAGAAGCTAGGATGGAAGGTCTTACCACATGCGCCGTATAGTCCAGACTTAGCACCCTCCGATTTTCACCTTTTCAGATCGATGCAACATTCCCTTGAGAATTGCCAGTTTAAGAATGCAAAAGAAGTCGAAAATTGGGTGACCAACTACTTTGCATCACAGAATCAAGCGTTCTTTGAGAAGGGGATCCGCAATCTGAAGCAACGTTGGAGGGATGTCATAGATACTAATGGTGTTTATTGTTTTAAATAAATCGTTATCTAAAAAAATTTTGGATGACTTTAATGTTTGTAAAAAAACGAAATTTCATTTGCACCAACCTAGTAGCTGTTAGAATTAAAACAACTAACCTTAATCATAGTTGCCATAAATAACCTTCACGGCTAAGGGCGGTCGCCAAAGGACCACCAATAGAAGGGTTTGAAAATTCAATGTGCAAATCCACTTCACATACATCCAGATATTGCCGGGCCCGTCGAGGCTTTCCCTTAAAATTAGAGAAATTAAAACTAATTTCAGTTATACTATGGATCTATTGAAATATGATTATAATAACCTGAAGAATTACGCCTGGAATCAGGAACGCCCAGATGGTCCTGCGTGGATCGACGTTTTTTCCTTTTGTGAAACGACGCGGAGCATTAGCAGCCGGGTGAGCGAATCGTAAAGTCTTGCCCGCAACAGTGATCTCAATAAATCGTCGAGTCACCCTCATGTGAGTGTAATCCTCAAGAATGCTGTACCTTGGATTCATCGTGCGGCTGAAAATGAAAATGAAAATGAGTTTTATTCTACATTGTCAGAATAAGAAAAGCAACTAAAAGAATTTTGATAAAATGAAGTAAAATACATGCAATTAAGTTGATATAGAGAAATTCATGGAAGCCTTAATTCAATATAACTTAAATATAACCAACATTTCTTCATCCGAATTCTCATGGCCCTCATCCTCGAAATCCTCATCAACTTTTGAGTCGTCAGGAGGTAGAAATAACTAAAATTAATCAATTGATGAGTTATTACAGTTGATTCTTATAAACTAATATTTAAGTCAAAGATTCTGAAAATCTAGAGAATTGAATAATTGACACAATAATATGAATCAACCTTCGTAAGGATATAATCGCGAACAAAAATCACCTGTTGGTAGCGTGCAAGATTTCCGGTTTTCGTTATAAAATCGCCAAACTTCATGGCATCGGTAAATTCAACGCATAGAGCCACAGAAGGAAGTTCAAACCAAGAGTCATCATCTTTAGCCTAAAGGTAAATAGATCAATCTCTCCTCATCACAATACCCAATCTCTCCTTATCACAAAGTATTAGCTTTCATAGTTTTGATTTTATAAAAATTTCATCGGGACTGAAATGAAAATGACCAACCTGTAACAACATTTCAGCCAATGTAATCTGGATCTTTCCAATTGTTTTCATCGAAAATTTGCGAAGATCGCGATTATCCGGGTAACCAAAACGAAAAAGCTTGGTTCTATAGCCCAGCTCCAGATAACTTGGCGTCACTTCAAGTGAATCGAAGTCTTCGAAGAAGCACAGTTGAGTTTCCATGTTGCGCTAAGTAAAATGAATATTAGAATGAGAAATCAAAATACTGAAAAAGAGTCCACGAAAAGTCTAAACAAAAACATAATAAAAGTAGATGATTAAAGTGCACTGAAAATTAAAGGAAAGTTGACGCAAATGAAAAACGCTTAATAAAAAGGAAGTTTTATCCCCACCACCATCTATTTTTTTCTAGTTTGTGCTTGCTATTTTGCAGGTATAAAAGCTCTTAATAGGCTATCGATAATTTAAAAAATACTATTAACATAATAATCAAAATAGTTTTCCCTTAATAGTCCTTGAGGCGGACTGCTTGTCACCGTAATGTAGTGTACTGTAAGACAGAATGTAAGACAGAATACGTTCCAAGAAGGATAAGGAAGACAAGGAGAGCCCCTTGTAAGGGCACGAAAAAGAGACCCGATCAGTGCGTCGCATGGTGAGGTCCAAAGCGTCTGTCCCTCCCTCCGAACCCGATGCCCGGTTCGATCCCGCCTCCAGCCTTCTTTTGCAAATGCTCGGATTCCTTTGGGTGAGATGGAAGAAGATTGGAAATTGAGTTGGGAGAAAGGAGGCGAAAAGCTTCAGTTCAAAAAGCAGAACGCTGGTCATAAGTCTTTACAAATTCAATATTTTATTCGACAATATTACAAAAGTCTTTTCTTTTCTGTTTGACAGAAAATCCTTTCCCGGAGTTTACTTACTGTCCCTCGAAAACTTCGTGAAAGTTCCACGGGATGTAGTATTGAATTGCGTTCAGTCCTAGGTCTCGTAGCTGTCTCAGACGCTCGCTCCGTCGCTTTTCGTGAATCCGGAAGTAGTGAATTGAGCCTAGAAATTAGTTTATAGCTTAGATTTAGCATATTTTATCGAGATCATTGTACTGTACCCGAATAATATGTGAAGGGTTTGTCGTCCATTCGAAAAACTCCATTCACGTAGTCGACAGTGAAGGAACGTTGTTGTAATGAAGTTTCGGTTTCATGTTGGTACACGCTAAAGTTAATAGACTGTTTAATAGCTTGACTGTCTGTATCTGTATTACTGTTTGGGAAAGAAAAAACGTAACCCCGGACGAAAATTCTTTGTAGACGAAAATTTAGATTAAGCAAATCAAGCAAAGCAAAGCAAAAAGATAGTCAATTTGTCTTACAAAATAAGATATTCAATGTAATGGCTGACTAATTTGATTTTCTTGAAAAGAGTTCTTGAAAAAATCTCATTTAACTCGGAATTTCACGTGCTCCGGCAACGGTCCTGATGATTTTTCCTTAGATCTTTTAAGCTTCTTTTTATTGCTGGTCCTAGAACTTCGAGCTTCTGACTTGCTTATCGTTTTAAATTCCTTGCAAATTTAGTCTATCCTCTGCCTAGTCCAGCATTTCTGTTCTTTGTACCTAAGATCTGCTATAAAATGTTTTTATTTGTGTTTCTTGTTATTAAAGAGTCAGTAACTAATTTCTTTTCTTTAGATGGCTACGAAAAAGCCGCTAGCAAAAGAGATTCCTGATGTGGTCTACGATGATAAAGGCAAACCCTACAAGAAGGGCCGATTTCTTGGGAAAGGAGGATTTGCAAGATGCTACGAACTCTACGACAGGCAACGCAACATCACATTTGCTGGAAAGATCATCTCGAAGCATCTACTCAAAGGAAGCAATCAAAAGGAAAAAGTAAAGCTTTGTTTGAGTTATTATAGTTTAAGAAGGAAATGGGTAGAATAAAAATATGGCAGAACTTGATTGGGTACTTCTTTAGTGTCGGGGAAGGGGGTAACGATTTTGCCAACCTTGTGTCACTGATTTAGTGATATTAAACTTGTCCAATTTTGACTTTAAAGCATTATTAGATAGCTTAAGCTTTGTAGGTTCTAATAGTTTTCAACATCTATCACAAAAAAGTATTTAAGTTGTGGGTTAAAGTTTGGCAAGATCGTTACCCCCCCCCGGATACTAAAGAAGTATCCTTGGTTTCAAATTCATATAACAAGGAATCGTTTTTTGGGTCATTAATTAAAACTCTTTTAGGTGACCCAAGAGGTGACCATTCATCGTGACCTTTGTCATCCGCACGTTGTACGATTTGACGGATACTTCGAAGACCCGGAGAATATGTAAGCCGATTTATGAAAGATGATTCGGTACTTTTCAATATTTCAATACCACCCTACCAAAATCAGATACAAGTTTTGATCATTTCAATCATTCTCACCCCATTTTTCCTCAATTTGAAATAAACATTTAGGAAATGCATTCAGGATAATCTCACAAACAACTCATTTTTATTCTTTTTTACGGGTAATCGATGTCCTCTACAGTGTTCTTTTCATCTCTGGTATTATACTTTTTTTAGTTTGTCCCCCCTCAAACCATAGAAAAAAAATTTGGGGATACGGGGGGTTTCCCCAGTTTTTTACAAATCAAAATTATGCTATATTAGATGGCGCAATCAAAAATACCAAAAAACTAGTTGTTGTAACAAAAAATGTTTAATCGTGAGAAAGAAACGTAGCCACCAGAGAGATGTTCTGGAATAGACTGGGATCGCGAACTTACATTGCTAGTTATTGCCATTGCCCGTCGTATGATCCATCCAAACCATTTGGGGTGGGAAAGATTGAAAAGATCGAAATTTGCATTTGAGAAGGAATTGAAAAGTAATCGTTGATTCATCTTGTTTATTTTAGCTACATCTTGTTAGAACTCTGTCCAAGACGATCACTAGTGGAATTGCACAAACGACGCGGAGCTCTTACGCCGCCAGAAGTCCGTTACATGACACTACAAATCGCCGAGGGAATCGAGTACCTTCACGCGAGAGCCATCATTCATCGGGATCTCAAGCTCGCAAATGTCTTTTTGAATGATAGGATGATAGTAAGCGTGGTTATTTATTTTTATACTTTAGCAAATTTTTTAGGCTAAAATCGGCGACTTTGGCTTGGCAACGATGATGGAGAAAGGAAACGAAAGGAAGAAAACTTTATGCGGCACGCCGAACTACATTGCACGTAAGTCATTTGAGTTGAAGTATACGTATAATATTACATATAATTAGATATAATATTCTTTTTCAATGATTTGTTTTAGCTGAGGTTTTGGAGAAGGCCGGTCATGCGTTTGAAGTGGACGTATGGGCTTTGGGTTGCATTCTCTACACTCTTCTCGTCGGCACACCACCATTCGAAACGAAGTCACTCCAAGAGACGTATCGACGCATTAAAAGCAATCAGTATCGCATCCCATCTACCATCGGAAACACAGCTGCGAAGGTGATCCGGGAACTTCTAGCTGCAAATCCAGCTAGTCGACCAAAGATTGGAGACGTGAGAAAAGTAGCGATGTTTATTAAATTTAGCAATACTTTTGTTTTAGTATGCCTATTTTACCGAATACACACCAACACATCTGCCCACATCTTGTCTCACGTTACCTCCAAAGTTTTCTAAGGTTTGTGCTGGCTAGATCTTTTTATTGTACTCTTTTAGACAATGGATGCTATTCCCAAGCGAGTTCCATCGCCTAGCCGGGCTCTAACGTCACAGAAAGCAAACGTGGAACGATTGTACAAGGATGGGTCCAAGGCTTCGGATAAGCATGAAGTGAAGCCGCAAATTGCACAGATGTCGAGCGATTGTTATGCACAGGATCTTTTCAATAAATTGCGCGCAACTCTTCTCAAAGGTGGAACTCGGTATTTTTTTGTATTACTTGCCTTGAGTACCTTTCGTTTAGTAACATTGCTCCGGTCGAGGATTTGGCCGAAGCACCGGAGTGTATGCCCGTCTTTTGGGTTAGCAAATGGGTAGACTACTCCGGTAAGTATGGCATCGGATATCAGCTATGTGACAACTCGGTAAATTGTATACTTTATTTAATTATGCTTATCAATTTTCGGTTGGTGTTCTCTACAATGACAATTCACGTTTGGTGCTTGATGCTGCTGGTCTCAACTTGCAATACGTTGGACGGGACAACTACGAGGAATACTTCACGATGAACAAGGACTCAGAGCGAATGAAACATTTGGAGGAGAAAACGACACTACTCAAATTCTTCCGCAACTACATGAATCAACACCTAATTAAAGCTGGAGAGAAATTTGCACCAAAGGTAAAGTTTGAACCACTTGTCTCGTATAATGCTTTATTTTAGGAAGGTGATGAGCTGGCTCGTCTCCCATTTCTTCGCAGTTGGTTCCGCACTGACTCAGCGATTGTTTTGCACCTCACAAATGGCACGCTACAGATAAATTTCTTCGCCGATCACACCAAGCTCATCCTATGCCCTCATCTTGGCGCCGTCACGTTTATTGATCGCGAGAAGGAGCTGCGCACCTTCAAATTGGAGTTACTTGAAACGTACGCCTGATTCTTTGAGACTTGGAAATTTTTAATTTTAGACATGGGTTCGACGCTGAGTTGCGATCGCGTCTCAAATACGCCGGGGGGTTGATTGAACGATTAATATCAAAAGCGGGTGGGATCGTCAAACCAGAAGTTTCAAGCGCCAGCGGACAATCGGCACGGTCATGCGGAGTCAGCTCTCAAAGCAAAGGCTTAACCATCGCAAAGCTGAACTAACTTTAATATTTGCATATATTGCTGTCTATCTTAGTGTGTTCTTTCTGCCTTATCTCTTTCGATTGTAAGTTGTATATTTTTATGTTACTTTGGACTAACTTTAGACTTGCTTTTTAGATTTTTAGACTTTTTAGACTTTAGATTCCGTTAGTCGAATTTTGGCAGGTTGTGCTTATAGTATTCGTTTGGTCGTCCCGATTAAATTTGATTTGTCTAAAGTGGTTATACTTCCTGAATTGCGTTTGTGTTTCGTTAATTCCAATCAGAATAAATTTGCATATTATCAAATTGGAATAAAATGCACTGCAGGTTTTGAACCGACTCGTACGAAATTTTGGGGATGATTGAATCCGAGTAGCTCGGGAATCGCAAAGAAGCGAATTGAAAAACATTGCCATATCATCGCTATCGTGTAACTTCAAAATTTGAGTATTGATTTGCATTTAATTTTTTGGTGACAAAATCCCTTTAGCATGCCACTCATTCTCTACTCGTTTCTTCTTTTTGATCGGCGGCATCTTCGATGAGCAACTTTCAACGGTGATTTACTTTTTTTGGGTTTGATCAAGTTTGAAAAGAGTTATTGTCAGTAAAACGAAAAGAAACTTTGGACGTGACATCCTTCCGTTTTTACTGATATTGTTGTTTTCCCATTCTTGAGTGAACCATGAATCTGTTCAACGCCTTGTCCGTTTGATGTAGCATTTCATTTTAGGGATACCACCACAAAGACGGGAGTAAAAACAGCGATTCCTGAGACGGAGTGAGGATTTACTTCTAGTTGCTTTATGGTTTACTTTTAGTGAAACAACTAATCCGTCAACTCGTGCAACGGAGGAAAACCGGAAATCGTTAGTTTGATCTTTAAACTATGACCTTTTTGCTTTAGATCGAAATCGGAAGAATCGACGAAGCAAGGAAATCACGATATAGCGACCACGATTACACTTATCTCAGCCGATAGCAATAACAACCTGAACAAAGGTAGTGTGGCTTGTATTAGCGGCATTAAGCAAGATCAAGTATCAGTAGAGCTTTGGAGTGACAGATCACTGACTTGGCTTATTTTTTAGCATTAAACATCACGCTGAGAAGTTGATAACAAACAAATGATTATCACGAAAAAAATGTGAATGACATAATCAAAATAAATAGGCAGCATAATAAATAACTTGACTTTTTGAAGTTATGCACCTATTTTTTACATTTCTAATACCTTTCTTGTTTAGTGCTCGATGAAACGGCGTCGGCGCCTCGTGACGCTAAAAAGAAAAGAATTCTTGTTTTGAATAAACTGATGACCATCACAAACAAGCTTCTCACCTTTGTCGGACTAAAAAAGAAGAAAAAGCCGGGTAAGGGTTTTATATTTTAAAACAGCGGAGTAACAAGTGTAGCTAGCATTGTTCTAAAGTTTGATTAATATGTCTCGTTTTAGCTGATCTCGAAGCGGGTGAAAATGCTGAGGGCCGGCAAAGATGGGGATCATCACTTCAATTCATACTCACGTGTATCGGCTACGCTGTTGGTTTGGGAAATATTTGGAGGTAATGTGAATCGAAGTTGAACTTTATTTCGCTTTTCTGCTTTAGATTCCCTGCACTGGCTTTCAAACACGGAGGAGGTACAGCAACTTTTGCAAATATGGCATTTTTTAACCTTTAGCTGCTTTCCTGATTCCGTACGTGTGTTGCAGTTTCTTCTTCGGCTTCCCCCTGTTATACTTTGAGCTCTCGATCGGACAATATTTACAAGTAAGCTGTTTGTAAGTTGTTGTAACTTATTGCTTATCTTCCAGAGTGGACCCAGCAAGGCTTTCTACAAGTTCAAGCCGATTTTCCAGGGTATCGGATGGACGATGACTTTTGTGTCGCTGCTGGTCGGCACTTATTACAGTGTGATCATTGCTTGGTGAGTAGGGTTTTTGGAGCATTCAGTCGTATTTATTGACTGGATAAAAAAAACTGGACTGTGTTCTCTGGTTAATTTTTTAATGTTTGCTTTAGGGTTGGCATCTACTTGTACTACTTGTTCACATTTCAATACGACAAATGGACAACGTGCAAAAACGAATGGAACAACAAAGATGGTAGTTTATTTATTGCAAAGTTATCTGTGTATTTTTTTGTTTTAGAGTGTATCTCAATTCTGGCGGACCAAGAGTGCCTTGCAGCGGGAAAAGGGTTGAATTACTCGTACCATGGAGAATGTGTTATCGCGAGGCCAAATGTATTTTGTTTTACTAATTTGTCAATCCTTTTTTAGGGAACCTATCGAGCCGCTGCTGAGGAATTTTTCGAGTATCGTTGTTTAATTAAATGTTATTATTTTTGTTTAGGAAAGAAGTCTTACGGATGTCGGATTCGATTGAGAGCATAAGCAACATGAATTGGCAGGTGTGTTTTCGATTTAGCAGTTACAGCTTTGGATGTTTCTAGGTATTCAGCTCTTTGGCGATAATGTGGATCCTGATTGCGTTTGGGTTGTGGAAAGGAGTCAGGCACATTGGCAAGATATCGCTCTTCACTGCCACCGTACCATATGTGATTATTGGTAATGGGAAATTTCAAATTTTATCTATTTTGTTGTTTTAGCGATCCTCTTTGTGCGCGGTGTCACGCTGGAGCACGCGAGCGATGGAATCAACTTCTACTTGCTGAAACCGGACTTCTCGCACGTGTTGAAGATCGATGTTAGTCGTTGATGTATTAAAGATTAGAGCCAGTCAGTTAAATTAGTTTTGGTAGCGTTAGAGATTAGTAACTTGGTAATGTGTAATTTCATGTTTTTAGACTTGGCGATCCGCACTCATTCAAGTTTGCTTTTCACTTTCGGTTGGATTTGGTGGATTGCTGTCGATGGCCTCCTACAATCAGCACACTCACAATTGTTTTCGAGTAAGGTTTTCATGATTCCGAGTTGATTGAAGAGTTGATTTAGGATGCTGTCATTGTTGCTTTCGCCGACTCGTTCATGGCGATCTTTGGTGGAATTGCCGTCTTCTCGACAACCGGCTATTTGGCACATTTCTTTTTTCTTTTTAAAGACTCGCACATGCACAACTTTTGTGATTGTATTTCTGTCTGTGATAATTGTTGTTAAATGATATCATTTGTGCATGTGTTAGGGTTATTAATCAGTGAGTTGTTGTTTGTTTACTTTTTATTAACAGAGAAATTTCAGGCACATGTGCAAGGAAAAAACATCTCCGAAGTGATTCGAGAGGGTGGGTTTTTGGGAATTCGAAAACTACCTAATTTCCTTTTTTGGCACCTCGTTGGCTTTTGTCGCTTATCCAGAAGCAATCGCAACAATGAATGCATCTTGGCTTTGGGCATTCCTATTCTTTCTCATGCTATTTCTACTCGGGATCAGCACACAATTTGGTTTGTTTTCTCTTCGCTAAACGCTTCAATGATCGATTCGTTTTAGTCTACGCCGAGACCGTCGCGACGTCATTGATGGATCAATTCCCGAGACTGAAACCGATGCGAGCCTATCTCACCACGGGAACGTGTATTCTTATGTTCCTCATCGGAATAATCATGTGTACAGATGTAAGTGATTGGGGTATTTAAAGATTTACATCTCTACATGTCGCAGACTTTTTACCGTTCTATTTATTTAGGCTGGCATTTATTGGTTCATTATCTTCAACGACTACACCGGCTCGTTCTCTGTTTGTGTGGCATGTGTGGCCGAAATCGTGTGTGTCCTGTATTTCTATGGTTGGTTCTCGTTTTTTGAACTTTATTAAAAACCTAATTCATTTAGGTCCAAAAAATTGGCGAAAAGATCTCCAATCGATGTTTGGCGAGCCAAAATACTGTATTTCTAAATGGATTGGGCGTACCGGGTACTACTTTATGGCTAACTGGATGGTCGTGTCACCATTGCTTGGATCGGTGTGTGCTTTTTGAAGGCTTTTGCACGTGGACTTTAGGTGATTTTCGTTTTCACATGCTGGCGCACTGAACCAACAAAATACGGAAACAAAGCGCTTCCAAGTTAGTTGAAAGTACAGCGACTCAACACTTGTTTGCTTTAGTTTGGGCCGATGCAATTGGATGGATTCTTGGACTGGCTCCCTCGTTGTGCATTCCAATTTTCGCCATTGTCAATATTGGGATTTTTGCGAGGAAAGGAGTATGTCATCAGAGTTGGCCCTAATAGCATGACCACAAAAGATATAAATTTATCATTTTTAGGATTGGAAAGACGCCTTTCGTGTACATGAAAGTCATCGCTCGTATCTTCGTGTGAGAGGACTGTTGAGTACGAAAGAATGGTCGAATCGCGAAAAAATCAGCTATGCAGGCGCCGATGAAGATGATGGCGATGCGGCTGGAAAGGTTGGGGAATTTTGTTGCATTTGCACTTCATCGGCTTTTTAGAGTCCTTCCCGCGAGTCAAGCTTTGTCTATTTGAGAACGGCCCGCTCGAGCAGTAGTCGGTAAGGATTGTGAAAGTTTGGGTTTTTTTAAAAGCAACTCAACAACTTTAAGCCGGTATAGCACAATAGCTATACAATTTTAAAGCATATCTTGTGACCTCTTTATGATTTTTTTTGTTCAGATTGCACACGAGACCAAGATCGGTATCGTGTTAAAGACATCAACTACGTATTGCGTCCACTTCATCGGCACCGACGGTGACCGCCCTGAAGAAGTCTGTCTCGCGATCCTTATCGGAATGATCCAATCAAATTCAAGCACCCTACTGGAGTCACTCGTCGATTTTTGCTCTTCACAAAATGTTTGTAGATTCTTTCTTTTTCTGTAAATGCGCGTGTTTCCTGTAAATCTTTTCGTGCTTTGCATTTCCTTTTTTCTTTCCCTTTTCTAGCTTCTGTGTGATCTTTTAGGCTCTTTGTTTGTTCTTTTGAGTGGAGGGAGCTTGCATAAAAGTTGAGGAAGGTTGGGATCTGATGGGGAATGTCGTTGAGCACAGAGTAAAATACCATTTTATTGCTCTTTAAGTTTTTCCATATATTATTAACTTTTATTCACACGAGTATAAATATTCGGTCAAAAAAATGAAAAAAGAAAACTTGCACACTAGATTTTCTGCAAAAACGGGTTTTGAGATGCGAAAATTAACGAAAACCCACAAAATTTAAGAAAAAAAATACGGTAAAGCTTTAGATTTATGTAAAATTTGTAAAATACGCTAATTTTTCAATAGAGAAATTCTAGAAATCGGGACATTTTTCGGTTTGTTTGCGATCACAATTCGGAGAATTTTTCCGGGATGAGAAAGAGGAAATTTGCATTTAAAAAAGGGTAAAGTTGGGTTACGATAATGGGCAAAACTACCGTAATCTTCCCAGCTACAGTAACCCCATCAAACGGGTTACTGTAGCATTGGTGAAACTATAGAATTCCAAACTTGAAGCTACCATAAACTTTCAGTTACAACAGCCAACGGGATTGTAGAAATGGTTAGACTATAGGAAGTACAATTCCCCGAATCCTAAGCCTTGCCACAATTACCGTAACCATGCAATAGAAAAACAAACAAAGGACTGAATATGCAAAAGTTAAAGCCATAAATTTATGCAAATTAAAGCTGGGTGACCTGAAAAAAATGGGGAAAATGACGAAAAACTGGAAAAAAAAATTGAGAAATTTTTGTGCAAATCAAGAAATTTTCTTAAAGGCAACGATTTTCTTTAGAATTATTGCAAAAAAATGAACAAATTTTTGAGTGAACAAACGAAAAGCACAATTCGGGAATTTTTATGACAAAGTTTGGCAATTTTTCGCGAATACGGGAAATTTTTTTGGGAAAATGTGACAGAAAAGAATAAAAAAAAATAGAGAAAAAGAAAGGAATTCGAAAAAATAGACAGAAAAAAATAGAAAATAAAGAAAAAGAAAGCAATTCTAAAATCCTAGATCAGCTTTAAGAGGCATTGAAAATGCCCAGGTTCGAGGCTTGGCGCAGTGGTTGTGTTGGCGGCTGCGAACCGTTTTGTGGCCTAGCCCAAGTTCGAGTTTGAGCCCGGGTGCAGCCGAAAATTCGGTGTTCTTTTTGTGTTTTTTTTTGAGAATTGATCAGAGATTTTTGTTTTTAATCAGAAAGACTCCAGGGGACTCGTGTTTGAGGTGTTTTTCGAGGAGACGGCCGGGAAAAGAATCGCTTTGGCGATCCGGTGCTCATCTGTGGAAAGGTGGGCCTAGAAATTGGATTGTTTTGGGAATCGCTGAGTGTACAGTCATTCGATTGGCCGAAAGATAAATCACCTTGAAATCTTGTTGAGTGCCAAAATGAGTGCCGCAGGCGAGGCACTCGTAGTGCGTTTGCACTAGCGTCAAATGACCCTCAGATCGGGAGCAAATCGAGCTGAAATTTGGGCAAATTGAATTCAGCTACGGTAATGGGATATAGTTTAGGAAATGACGCAAATTACAGTAATATGGCGCCACCGTAATCATTCATGAAAGATTTATAGAATATCAAGCTCATAGCTGTCTCACCGTTGATGCGCAGCAAGAAGTGTTTCCTGTTGGAAGACGTTCGTGCACCTCGGACAAGCCCAACCGACCTAAATTTACTTTTTAGATCTTTTTGTATTACTTGGAAAGATCTTTAATGATTTTACAGCCTTATTTAGAATATTTTACAGCCTTATTTAGAATATTTTACAGCCTTATTTAGAATATTTTACAGCCTTATTAGAATATTTTACAGCCTTAAACTAAATTGAACTTTACGATCCAAAAGATCAAAACAAAAAGCCGCTTTTTTTTGGTTTTTTCCCCACATTATTTTTGTGTTTTTTTTGTGCATAACTAAGCATTATAAATAATATTTTAAAAGAAATTAGGTCATTTTAGATCTAAACCGTAAAGTTCAATCTTAGGGGTGAACTTCACGGTCTAAAAGAGTAAACTAAAAGTGTTAAACCTTCAGAGAGAAAGAAATGTTTTCAGAGACGTTTTCATGCTAGAATCGAATTGCACTCACAAATTTTAAATGTTAATTTTATCTTATTGTTAAATGTAAATTTTCGCGCAACGTCGCATTCCAATTGACGTCGCCGCCATTTGGAGGTAGTCGATGGGAGCGCCGCGTCGTCGTTTCTTTTTTTCCTTTTCAAATCATTTGTTTTTGTCAGATCAATCATTTATTTTTATTTGTTTTATTTTTATTTGTTTTTATTTGTTTTTATTTGTTTTATTTTTTTTTTTTTATTTTTATTTTTTTATTTTTATTTGTTTTTATTTCTTTTTGTTTTTAATTGAAAGTATTGTTTTACGCGATAAATTTTGTGTTTCTCTTTGAAATGAGAAAGCAATCTATTTCCATTTGGAAACCGGGTGGAGAATCCGGAACTTTTCGTAGTCGGACTACAATGAAGGCCAAAACTAACTGTAAGATGGTTTGGGGAGTCGATTGGAAATAACGAAAGCAATGCTCATCTTCTGGACCGTTTATAAAGCTAAAGGTCAAAACAAAAGGGTCGAAATTTTTTTTGCTTTAATGTTTTTGTTTTTGTGTTTTTTTTTGCGCATAACTGGGCATAGTAAAGCATAAAAACTGGTTTTGAATGTATTTTGGTTCTGGACCGTAAAGTTCCATTTAGCCGAGCCTTATAAGCTTACCTCCGAGTTTTTCGGAGCCGCACACTTGGCATCTTCTTCGGCCAAGCCGGAGACGAGCGCGTCAAAGGTGAGCCCATCTTGGGTGAATCTTAAATGAAAAATAAAAATTTGACTTAAAAATACAATAAATTCGGCAAATCCGGTAAATCCGGCCATTCGAAAATGAACTTGGGATGAGATTTGTCAAATCAAACGCTTATACCAAGTCTAATATTATATCTAATAGTATTTATATCCAATAATATCTATATCCAATATTTTCTTATACCTAATATTAATATATCTAATATTTACTTTGTCGAGCTGCGTCCTTCGCTTAAATCGGTGCTGATCTGTTGCATGACCGTTTCGGGGATTTGCAGCAACGGGATCGGTGTTCCCATGACGGTCGGATCGTAAAGCATCGGAAGGGTTCCTGGACTCAATAATTAATACAGTTCTAATCGTAATCAATCCTGAATTGATTAGAAGACTTATCCTTTGACCCTTTTACCTCATGACTAAGATACAGAACCTTTGACCTCATGACTAAGATACAGAGACTCTTAACCAGTCTGATGGCGGTGGGTAAAGCTGTTATTGCTCTGCAAACTTTACCTGGTTGAATCCCGAAATTGAGTAGATTGAATGGAAACTCTTGAGGGTTTAGCGGTGCGGCGGCTTTCTTCGGTGACGAGTCTCTAACGATTGGGGCTCGGCTTCTCAATCTAAATTTCCCATTGTAAGTAGCTAAACTCATAAATAGATCATAAATAGATACTGTAGTCTAATTTTCGAGACTTACCCATTCTCATCAGTTGGTCGAACATCGGCATCATCACCTTTGTGCAACGAGCGCAACATTGTTAAATGTGGCGGCGAGAAGACGTGATCCTATAATATTTTTTGTTGGAATCGCCGTAAATGGTCGGGATTTAGGAAACGTCGAAACTCTCGATCGTTTTCAGTCAAAACTACAGTAGCCTTAATGCTTCAAAGTGCGATAGCTTGAAAGTAAAATTTCAGATTTGGTCTCTTGATCGTTTTCAGTCGCAAAAAACGACGGTAATACGAAGTTGATTTTTTTAGAACTTTGAGACAGCAATAAATGCTCAAAGCAAAGGTTTCTAGGGGTAATTTTGTACGTTCTTTTCAAAAAACACGGTTTCAAGATGATTAGAGCCCGGCATTAGCAAGAAAAACAGTGCTGAAATTGTTGTTTTTTCAAACCCTATTTTGCGCACCGCAAAATGTGTCAATTGAAGTAATTTTAAAAAGTGAATCCATCATCTGATAGAGCTCGTTTTAAGCTTTTAGAATCACTATAAAATTTCTAGTCTACGATGGAATGGTTTGAAGTTATAGCTCTTGAAAGATGGTGAAAAATTGATGAGGTGATAATCTTTTGTCTAGTATATTAGATATTAGATATATTAGATAACTTAGATCTATTAAATGGTGAAAGTCCAAGAACTATTAAATAATGAAACTAAAGATCTATTAGATAGCTTAAACTATTTTACCTGAAGTGAAACAGTTGGCGAGAACTCGATAGAGCAATAAGTGCACGAGCGGGGCAACGGCCTGCTCACCTCTTCGTCTTGACCTAGAAATTCACACTGTTTATAATATTATAATATAATAATCCGATAAACATCAATCTTAGATCATTAATATTCAATAAATCTGTTAATTCTCCTTTAGTTACCATACCATTTTGCATTCTCGTCTTTCTTTCTTTAGCTCGAGCATTTTGGAACCACACTTGCACGACTCTTTTATGAAGTCCTGAAAAATTTGCATCAAATCACTGTAAATAGATAATATATTGGGTTGGTGAATTGAAAACTGCCGGCTATTGTCAAATGTGACAGTTTGAGCACTTTCTTCAAAAGAAACCCATTTTGGTGTCAATGGAAAAGTTGTAGAGAATCAAAAATCAAGCTTATATCCAGATTTCCAAAAAGATACACTTAGTAGTTTCGCTTAAAATTTGTGTGTTCTGTGTGTTCTTTGTGTGGCCGCGTAATCGCTCGTCGTCTGGCGCAGGGCTTTTACATAACCCCCTTCCCTCTCTCTTTCCTAAACTAATCTGGTCGGCTCCGAATCCTCAAATTGGACATTGACTTCTCCGCAAATCAAGGCTAATCTCAATCTATTGGGTTGGTGAATTAAAAACTGCCGGCTATTGTCAAATGTGACAGTTTGAGCACTTTCTTCAAAAGAAACCCATTTTGGTGTCAATGGAAAAGTTGTAGAGAATCAAAAATCAAGCTTATATCCAAATTTTCAGAACGATCCAAAAACTGGTTTTCAAGAAATGCCAAATTTACGAATTTTCACAAAACCTGCAACAAAACTTGCATTTTAAGCGAAACTGCTAAGTGTATCTTTTTGGAAATTTGGCTATAAGCCTAGTTTTTGATTCTCTACAACTTTTCGATTGACACCAAAATGGGTTTCTTTTGAAGAAAGTGCTCAAACGGGCACATCTCCAGTCCTCCATTTTTGAGTCTCACACTTGTCTCACACACAAACCAAAATCCTACTACAAAAGAGGAATCCGCAAATTGCCTGTAAAATGGGCAGAAGTCGTCAATAATAATGGAAATTATTTGGAATGAATTGATGGTTTTATGTTCAATAAATTTTAGTTCAAAGTCCCGCAGTTTTCAATTCAGCAACCCAATAATATAATATAATATCTAGCTACTAGATCTGGATGATATTAGTCGCCTTTTTTTATAATTTACCGATTTCTCGTCCCAACTTGTCACACTCGGCCATTGACGGGGTTTTGTACTCGGTGAAGATGCATTTCATCACCTAGAAAATGTTTTAGATAGAATTTCTTCCTGTTATAGAAATAATCCTTGCTTTTAGATGCTTTTAGATATAATTCCTGCTATTAGATAGTTTAGGTAGCTATTAGACTTACATGTACTTGTATTGGGGTTAAATGGGTACGGTAGCGTTTGTTATTCGCTGGACTTCTCGAGTCTCCTTGAGAGGAGTGCATCGATTGTTGAGCTAAAGCCGAGAAAATGTCTTCGCACGCGTCATCCACTGAAAAGATTGGAGATTTTTTGAAAAAATATAGACTACTTTGGTTTCTAGAGTAATTTGAGAAAATGATTGTTATCCTTTACATTCAGATCGTTTAAATCAACTCAATTTTGGTCAAATTCGATAAGGGAATCGCAAGAGTCAGAAAATGAACCAAAATTGAGTTGATCTAAATAAAATTAGCAAGATGGCGGTAGTTTTGAAAAACTTTTTAGAAAAGACTTCAATGTAGAAGCAATTTTAAGACAAACCATCCGATCCTGCACCGAGAAATGGTGAAACGGATAGCGATTCATTTCTCTCATGACTTCCATTCGAAGAGAGATCAAGTGGCGCCGAGCCATCGCCACTTAGAAGCGTTGAAGAGAGTGACGGGACCTAAAATGCATAGAAAAATTGCTTTTCAGTTTATTCTTGTCATCAGTCCCACTGGCTAGCCTCAAGTCAGAGATTTTCTTTCATTTTCTTTGGTAGACCATGGAAAACCTAGATTTTCAATGTATAGATTGATCGATTTTTTGATAGAATGCATTGTATAGCAATCGGTAAATAGATTGAGTATTTCAAGCATTAGAAAACATAGATAACAATTTGAATCTAGATCTAGATAAGGTGATAATCTAGATCTAGATTCTGGACCGTTTTCAGGCTCGGGCCTAGTCGGGTCTGGCTAGAAAAATGAAGTGAAGCAAGGGATGGAAAAGAAAAATTTCCAGGGATGGGATTGAACCCTCGACCTGTGCTCCTTTTTGCTTTGAAGGCAGATGCTCTAACCACTGAGCTATCCGGTATCTGATTGCTGGCGAAGAAAGAGAAAATACAAGGGGGAAGAGAAGGAGAAAGAAAGAAATTTTTATAGACGAAGCCTTCTCTTCTCCCTTGTATTTTCTTTCTCTTCGCTAGCAAATAGTTACCGGATAGCTTTTGCTTTGAAGGCAACCACTGAGCTATCCGGTATCTGATTGCTGGCGAAACTGATAGCTCAGTGGTTAGAGCATCTACCTGGAAAGCAAAAAGGAGATAAAAGGTCGAGGGTTCGATCCCTGTCCCGGAAATCTTTCTTTGCCACTCCATATTTTACTTTTAATTTATTAACTAGTTTACTCTACGATACTGTACAACAAACGAAACTGTTCTAGAATACAGTTCTAGAAGAATACGTATCTCTAGTACTGTTCAGTAATCCACTGATTTATTCTAAACATCACTCACATCATCCGCATTCGGCAACAAATCGACATCAACGGGTACTCGTTGCATTTGCAAGTTGTGCTTCGTCGGCAGATGCTCCAAAAGTGATTGCCGGGAGCGGAAAAGGAGGCAACAAAATGGGCAACGTTTATGGAAATTTGATGGAGTTGATGAAGAAGATGGGGTGGGTAATGGATTTCCAGGAGTGATCGGGATGCGAGCTGATTCACACATCTGCAAATTTTCGTAATTTATTTGCATATTTGTAATTGATTAGTACAATGAGTGTACAGTAGTTTTCGTTTTTCAAAAATCTACTTTGAGTAGAGCCTCGGTCGAGCTCTTCCCTTGGCCCAAAAGCTTCAGCAATTCGGCTGGATCGGGGAGAGCCGGCGATTCAGGAGCCTAAATTAGATTTGGTTAGATTAAATGATTAGATTAGATGATTAGATTAGATGATTAGATTAGATGATTAGATTTGGTTTGATTCTAAAACTTGTATACTTTAAGATACTGTAAATAATGTGAGTTTTGTAAGTACGATAAGTTGGCTACTTTTAGAGATTTACAAATTGTCGTTCTATTATTTCAAAATCGAACCGGTGTCTCTTGATTGCACGCCAACTGCTCTTTTTCCGCTTCGGTCAAATGCCCCTCGACGCCTTTATTGTCTTGGAGTTGGGCCTGGAAATTTGAATAGTTGGATTTGGATAGTTAAAGACGTGGGCAAGGTTACTGCAAGTGTACGCTAGTCGTACTTATAATACTATAAAGTCTGCATCAGGCCAGGACAAGTACTTGGACAACCCAGCCTGAGTCTGAGCACTAGAAATCGTTTCTACAGTAGCCAGTGGTGGGTTACTGTAGCTATGTGTCAGTCAAATGCCTGAACCTGAGCTAGCCTAGCCTAGATCTGTCTGACAGCCTGGTCAAAGACACATGACTGCCAGCAGTCAAGCCTGAAGCCTGGTCTAGTACTGGCTGGAATTACAGCTACACCATTTGAGCAGGCTGCATGCGCTGCAATCAATTCAAAAACCCTAAGTGTTATATAGAGAATTGAAGCCTGAGTTCTTGGCTACATTTCTGTATGAAAAGATTTTTGATTCGAGTTTTGTAGCCGATTTTTTAGCCTCAAATGAGCCCACAATTGACGAGCTAGATTGGGCTTATTTAAGCTCTTGCTTGCTCTGAAAAATCAGCTGTAAAACTCGAATCAAAAATCTTTTTATACAGAAATGTAGCCAAGAACTCAGGCTTCAATTCTCTATATAACACTTAGGGTTTTTGGATTGATTGTAGCTGAAATGGTGTAGCCGTAATTCTAGCGTAATGCAACAACAACAACAACCACTTTTTACCTGACAATCATCTTTGTAGCACTTCTTCTGCTGATGTTGGATCAATTCATAGTAACGCTGGAAGACCAAGCTGCAGCGTTTACACTGAAACTCTTGTTTCAGAATTTGTAGCTAAAAGTTACTGCGAACTGTGAACTGTAAAAGTTACAGTTGCCCTGTTCTGTTCAAAGTATTCAAAGATCATACCTGAAAATTGCAGCCCGGTGTCCGCACAAAGCGCTCACTATTTTCAGCATTTGGCTGATTCTCATAGATTTTTCGAGCCTAAAAATTTCTCAGTTCAGAATTTTTCGAATTTCCACTTGTAGGTTTTTTACTTTTTGCCTCGCATTTTGAAACCACACGACAATGACACGAGGTGACAATTGCAGCTTTTTCGATAACAATTCAAGATCGTCATCTTTTGGATAGGCCTGGAAATTGAGAAATTAGTTTAAGCTTTTAAAAAAAAGACTGTAATCTAGCTAGACTGTAATCTAGCTATAGATATAGCTAGGATTACAGCTAATCTAGCTATAGATATAGCTAGATTAACTGTAATAGATATACACTACTGGACAATGAATTATCATATTTGAAAGATCATCATTCAAAAAAGATCGTCACTTTCGCGCGTCTGTAACTCCCTTGTCTTTACCGTATTTCTAAATGCTAATATTACCATTGTGTAGCCCTTGAAAAGAGCTTTCAGAAAATGTATAACACTAATAGTTTAAACTGAAAGACAAGGGAGTTACAGATGCGCGAAAGTGACGATCGTTTTTCAAATATGATATTTCATTGTCCAGTACTGTAGCTAGATTTCTTTGGGTACACTTTGTGCGACCCAAACGGTAGCACAAAGTTTAGTTTGTAAACGCAACCCTTTCTAGCGCTAGAAGCACTTTTGGGTAGCACTTTGTGTGACCCAAACGGTAGCACAAAGTTTGGTTTGTAAACGCAACCCTTTCTAGCGCTAGAATGCTGTCATCTTTCTTTTTCTCGTGAAATCGAATCGTTTCTATGAGAAAAGACAAGAATTATGAGAAAAGGCAAGAATTGAGTGCACTAGAAAGGTGCGTTTACAGATTTTCAAAGTACAAAATGGTTTTGTTTAGATTTCTGACCTGTTTGTCGAAAAACTGTTGCAGAGTTCTGAGTTGATAGTCGGTGAAACGCGTTCGATTCGCTCGTCGACCGGCTGTCGGCTGTTGCACCTGAGCAAGGCCAGGCATTGCACCTGGAATTGTAATTACTGTAATGATTTTAATAAACGGCTATTTTTCAATAGACGACAACCTCTTAGGCAAAAAATCTCTTTTCTCAGATTTGTCAACTTCCATCCTGGCTTTCCAAGAGTTTTTTAGAGCTCAGGCTCAGGCTATAATCGTTTTAAGTTATAGAAAATGCTTGAAAACTTTAATGGACATAAACAAAAGGGAAATTAACTGTATTGAAATCTCCAGTACTTGATAAAGTAGTTTAAGTTTTTCAAAATCAATTAAACAAACCGGCCAGCAAACTGCTAAAAGCTTCTTTATCAGCCATAAACGAGAAAGGGTTTTGTTGTTGAAGATTTCCAATTAAAGCAGCTAAATTTGGCGGCTCGGGTAAAGCCTGTAGAGTAGCCGGTGGTTTAGGCTCCTAAAATCCCTTATAAATAAGCTAAAATACAAGCTTTTGAAAGCTCTATAATAAAAGAAATGATTTCTACACAAATCACCCACCTTTAGCTCTAATTTCACCTCTTGTTTGAACTCTTTTTCAACAGAATTCGTGCTCGACGTTGGCGTTGTGGCGCCATTCGTTTGCTAGAATTAAAATGGCTAAATCCATAAAAACTCAGCCATAAAAACTAGTTAAATCTCTCTAAAATCAAAAATTTTATAGCTATTCGATAAATCTAAATGTTTATTATTAAAATGATTCAATTTTATTAAAGAATTTTAAGGGTTTTGAAAGGATTTTGGGGATTTTGAAAGGATTTTGAAAAGTCGAAAGTTTCGGCACTTTTTCAGACCTTAGCATCAAGTTTAGAGGTCATTTTAAGTCGAATTGCTTAGCTCAAAAATGCGAATTCGTCGTTGAAAAGTTCGAATTTATCGATTTATTGATAGATAAGTGCTTTAAATGTCTTTAAATGGCTTTAAATGGCTTTAAAAGGCTTTAAACGGCTTTAAATGGCTTTAAATGGCTTTAAATGGCTTTAAATGGCTTTAAATGGTTTTAAATGGCTTTGAATGGCTTTGAATGGCTTTAAATGGCTTTGAATGGCTTTAAATGGCTTTAAATGGTTTTAAATGGCTTTGAATGGCTTTGAATGGCTTTAAATGGCTTTAAATGGTTTTAAATGGCTTTGAATGGCTTTAAATGGCTTTGAATGGCTTTGAATGGCTTTGAATGGCTTTAAATGGCTTTAAATCTCTTTAAATGGCTTTAAATGGCTCTTTGAATTCGGCTTTCTACGGGGCGCCTCCAGAAGGGGGCCTTTTCTCATACGCCAACCTTCCGTTTCCTCTAAAAGCCCCCACAGTTTCTTTTTTAATCGAGTTATTAAATTCTGGAACATTTTACCCCCTCATGTTCGTGATATTTCCACCTTGGCTAGATTTAAAGCCGCAATTTCGGCAATTGATTTGACTGCTCTGTGATTCTTTCTCGAGGTATCTATTTATCTTTTGGGTGTGTTTTGAGTGGTGTCCCGGGTAATTATTGTGATTTTGTTTTGTCGCTATTCAACTGAATAAAGCATATAGATATATAATGGCTTTAAATGCCTTTAAATGCCTTTAAATGCCTTTAAATCTCTCTAAATCTCTCTAAATCTCTCTAAATCACCTCCGGCGTCAATGAAACGACTTTCGCCTCTCCAGTTTTCTCATAAGTGTCCAAATCGATGCTCATTTGTGGGGGAACGGAGAAATTGTATGGAGAATCCTTGTCACGTTGTCTTTCCTACAAAAAAACACGTGTATGCTAAAATTTGTGCCATTGTGCTCAAATTTGTAAACCCCATCCTTCTAGTGCACTCAATTCCACATTTTTCAGCGTTTCTATGAGAAAAATGAGGATTTCAGTGCGATTTCAGTGCTAGAAGGGTGCGTTTACACAAATGAACACAAAGTACATATCTATCTAAGCTGTACAAAGGATTTTAAAGGGCACAAGCTGCTTAGTTTTTTTTCCAATTTACTTTGAACAATGTGTTCCTGAACCAGTGTTTGATGACTTTTTCGGGCAACATCGTTTTCACGCTCATATCTTTGATTTGAGCCTCGGTGGGGCTGTTGTTGATGTCGAAATACTGTCGAAGTACCTAAATTTTTACAAAATAACGTTTTTCTAATGAAATTTTAGTAAATAAAGTAAAGTTCAAAGTTGGTCGCTCCACTCGACCTCGACCTTGACCCTTGGCCAATTTTAGACGCCTCGTTCTTAGCCCCCTTTTAAGATATTTTTATGTGTAAAATACCAAAAGATAGAAGATATTCAGGGCTATCTTTTGGTATATTACACTTAAAAATATCTCAAAAGCGGGCTAAGAACGAGGGGTCTAAATTTGGTCGACCAACTCAATCTAGACCTTGACCCTTGACTAAATTTAGACGCCTCGTTCTTAGCCCCCTTTTAAGATATTTTTATGTGTAAAATACCAAAAAATAGCTCTGAATATCTTCTATCTTTTGCTATATTATACATAAAAATATCTCAAGGGAGAGCTAAGATCAAGGGGTCTAAAGTTGGGGGGCGCTTAGAGGAAATCTCAAAAGCTTTTAAAATCCAAATTTTGCGAGTATAACAGGAAAGTATTACTATTTCCTATAACTTACTATTACTGTTACTATTAGTATTACTATTACTATTACTGTTACTATTACTGTTACTATTACTCTTACTATTTATTTTACAAATCCCAACCTTTAGCTGATCATCGGTGATTCGAGTGCGAGCTCGTTTCGCTGGCGATGAGGCGGCTTGGAGAGCGGCCATCTGGACAAATTTTTAGTGATTCAACTTCTTACAGTATTCTTTTTTTCAAAAAATTTACTTGTTGTGCAAGCAATGGATTAAAAAACCCATCCATTGGCATAAATGGATTCGGCTGGAGAAACGGGAAACCTTGCATCATATTCAGAAGGGCCATTTGGGCTGTCTAAAGTTTGAACTAGTTACCGTAGTCTTTTTAGATTACCTGATCTCCAAGGTGGACATCGTTTTCACCACGAGATTTCTAGAAAAAAAATAGTAAATTTCTATAGTAATTAGTTGATTCTTGACTAAAGTTTTCCTTTCTTTTAATCCGTTTTCTAAAACGTGTCCTCTTTCACCAAACTACCGTAATCCTTTTCTTTCAACTACCGTAATCTTGTCTCTTTGAGTTTTTATTCAATCTATCTCTTTTTGTATCTTTGTGGAGTTATCGAACATTGGATACATGCCCCGCCCCCTTTCCCATTAGCAATCTAACTTTGAACTCAAATTTCTTGGCGTTGGGCTGTTCAATTTAAACATTCTTGGTATCATTGGATTTGTCAAGTCTTTCTCTATCGATTGGTACAAAACGAGCTAAATTGGACAGTCCAACGCTAAGAAATTTGAGCTCAAAGTTGGATTACCAATGGCAAAGGGCCGGAACGACCTTGCCCGCCCCCTTTGTCATTGGCAACTTTGAGCTCAAAGTTCTTGGCGTTGGGCTGTTCAATTTTCATACTCTTGGTATCATTGGATTCGTCAAGTCTTTCTCTATCGATTGGTATAAAAACGAGCTAAATTGGACAGTCCAACGCCAAGAAATTTGAGCTCAAAGTTGGATTGCCAAAATTGGACGCTTATCAAATGTCCTACAATCTCTTCAGCTTACAGTAACTCAAATCTGTTTTCTAAAACGTGTCCTTTCTCTCAGACTACCGTAATCTTGTCTATTTTTAGCTAATCTATCGATTTTTGTCTGATTCTTTGAGGATTCGCAAAGAATATCGATCGATATCGATCGGAAAAGTATAGATCGGTTAAAAATAGACCAAATTATGGTAGTTTGAGGGGGAAACTTTTAGAAAACGGGTTAAATCTTGTTCTAGTGCTTTAGCTGAGCTTTAGTTGGGCTTTAGCTGTGCTTGCTGTACTTTAGCTGTGCTTTAGCTGCATACCTTTTCTGGTGGTTCTGAGTTATCCCTGGAAACAGATCGGCTCCCATCACCAGAGCCAGGATTTGACTCTTCTCCAGCCTCATCAACAGCTTTCGATAATCGAGTGACAAAGCTGAATAGGAAAATCGATTTATAAAAGGATAATGCTGTAAATTTATAAAATCTAAAGCATTATCCTTTTAAAAACGATTCATTTAGTACTCACTTTTCCAAAACGCTCATCGGAATATTCATCTCGTGCGTGTCCTCATAATGAGCTTTAAGTGTCTGAAAAATGCTATTAAAATGCTTTCTAATGTATCTAAAATAAGAAAAAGCGAATTAAATCTATTTATTGTTTTACTGATAATACAATTTTCTAAAGCTTCTTCAGAATCTAAAGCTCTTCAGGTTCTCCACAAACTAAAGCGATTCAAGCGAGTTAAAAAATGCTTTAGAGCTTATTGAGCTTAACTTATTGAGCTATTAAGCTATTTGCAATTCTATTTTAACGAAATATTAACCATTGAAAATATCTAAACAGTTCTCTGATCGAAAAACAAAAATCTTGTTTTTAAAAACGCACTAAGATGCTTGTGAACGACTGAAAACACGTCTCACAGTCGCCTTTCACCAAATCGCTCACATAATCATCGGAGAGATCATCCAATCGTTGTAAAAGCAAATTCATCGAGTCAGGGAACTAAAGAAAGATAGATAGATAGAGATAGATAGAGAGATCGAAAGAGATAAAGTCTATTTAAACAGCTCGGTAGCGATCAAGACCATAGCTCTTTAAACATGGATTTGGATCAGCCAGGATTAGATTAGAAGGGATCTTGGTTTGGCCCTGGCTGGCTAGAAGGAATACTGGCTGGCCAGAAGGGACCCTGGCTGGCTAGAAGTGACCCTGGCTGGCTAGAAGTGACCCTGACTGGCTAGAAGTGATCCTGGCTTGACCCTGGCGGGCTAGAAGGGATCCGGCTTGACCCTGGCTGGCTAGATGTTGACTCTGGCTTCCAGTTAGGGCTAGCCAGGATCAGACTAGAAGTCAAGCCGGGCCAGACCAAGCTAGGCCAGGTCAGGCTAGGCAAGGCCAGGCTAGGCAAGGCGAGGCCAGGCTAGGCAAGGCGAGGCCAGGCTAAGCTAGACAAGACCAGGCTAGGCAAGAACAGGCCAGGTTAGCCTGGGTTATGCTGGCCTTGGTCCTAGCCCTGATCCTGGGCCAGGGCTAGGACCTGACCCAGTCCCGCCTGGCTTACAAACTAGGATCCGATTGAAACAGTCCTGTTGGCCAAACGGGGCCAAAAATGGCCAAACAAATTTAACCATTTCACCAATAAACTTATTGGTCAAATGTTTAAATGTGTCTAGTTCTTAAATCTCAATCAGGCGTCACCTCTTCAACGCCAATTGCGTCGATCATTTTCCTCAGCGTGGCCACCGATTTCGGAGCGGTTTCATCATCGTCAAGGGTTGAGGTAGAGGCTAAAATTGTTGATTTTCTGAGGTTTCTTCTCTATTTTTACAATTCTACAATCTTCTACAATCTTCTACGATCTTCTACAATCTTCTAGCTCGACTCACGCAATAGTCCAGGTTTCATGTTGAACAGTTGAGCCATATTGAGAATGTTGTTGAACATGGCCATTGGATTTGAGGCTGCTTGCTGGGCTGCCTAGAAATTTTGGGTAGATTGTTGATGTTGATTAGATTTCTAAACAACAAGTACTAAGCTATGGCTATTAATGAAGAAAATTTGTTTTAAGATTAATAAAGAAGCTTAAAATTTACATAAGATTTGATTGATTTCAAAAAAGAGATCAATAGAGCCAAATCAAATCAAAATCAATCAAACAAACAATCAAACAATCAATCAATCAATCAAAATCAATGAATCAATGAATCAATGAATCAATGAATCAATGAATCAATCAAAATCAATCAATCAATGAATCAATGAATCAATCAAAACAATCAACCACCAAAATCAATGATCAATGATCATGATCAATGTCAATCTCAATCAATCAATCAATCAATCAATCAAACAATGTTTTCAAATCGGAAACAAGAAAAAATCAATTCCTAATTTTGGAGAGGGATTGCGAGGGGGAATTTTCGAGTACAAAAGGGGGAAAAGAGATGGAGAAACAAAATTTTGCGGGCGGTATTTGGAGAGGAAAGAGATTGCAGTGAGGCCTTGATGACACTCAATTCACTTGATTCTCATTTGCGGGTACCGGAGAGACTCGAGGTGAACACCACGATATGGGAATTGAAATGAACGAATGAAAATGAGCGAATGAAAATGAACGAATGAAAATGAATGAATGAAAATGAACGAATGAAAATGAACGAATGAAAATGAACGAATGAAAATCAATCGATTAACAGTTGCACTGTTTTCCTAAAACTTGTAATCCTACTATTTCGTAATCCTACTGTAGCTTGTAATCCTACTGCAGCTTGTATAGGGCACTGTATATGGGAATAGTTAAGGGGTACTGTAGCTTTTATAGGGTGCTGTAATCAGGGATTGTTATAGGGTACTGTAGCTTGTATAGGGTGCTGTATATGGGAATAGTTAAGGGGTACTGTAGCTTGTATAGGGTACTGTAATCAGGAATGGTTAGAGGGATACACTGTAGCTTCTATAGAGACACTGTAATCAGGGATACTGTAGCTTCTATAGAGACACTGTAATCAGGGTTACTGTAGCTTCTATAGAGACACTGTAATCAGGGTTACTGTAGCTTCTATAGAGACACTGTAATCAGGGATACTGTAGCTTCTATAGAGACACTGTAATCAGGGTTACTGTAGCTTCTATAGAGACACTGTAATCAGGGTTACTGTAGCTTCTATAGAGACACTGTAATCAGGGATACTTATAGGGTGATGTAGCTTCTATAGAGACACTGTAATCAGGGATACTTATAGGGTGATGTAGCTTCTATAGGGTGCTGTAATTAAGGATAGTTAAGCGATACTGTAGCTAGTATAGGGTACTGTACTCAGGAATGGTTAGAGGGATACTGTAGCTTGTATAGGGTACTGTAGCTTCTATAGAGTATTGTATATTGGCTTTAAAACTCATCGAACATTCAAACTAATCATTTCCTATAGATTATTTCAAAATCCTGGCCTCCCGTTGACAAACAATGTCACAAACAAATATGAAATAAGTGGATTGAATGGAAATGAGTGTGAATGAAAAGTGATTGAATCGAGGCGAGTCTTTCGCTCTCTTTTCAATGCAGATGAGTGTCAATAATGAGAATCGGGTAACAATATTGGGTAAGAACTTTATTGAAAACAGTTCAACGGTCCCAAAGAATCCCAAAGAATGTTTCGTGATCAATTTGGAAATGATTTGACGCGGACTTTGAGCTCGATCTTTGTAAACGCATTCTTTCTGATGCACTGAATCCCTTTCCATTCTTGTGACAAAGAAAAAAATGAAGAATTTGATGCATTCAATGCTGTGAGAAAGATGAGAAAAAAACCAGAATCAATGCACCAGAAGATTGCGTTTATAAGTGAGCACAAAGTACGCAAGAAAGATAAGTTTAAAGGGTGTAAACGTGAATGATTTGGCACACTGAAGTCCGCCAATAGAACCAAAGTCTCGGTTTAATTACCCAATCAAACCTGGTAAACGATAAAAGCAAACCTACCGTAATACCGTAATACTTCTAATAGTAGCGCCTTCTCCTTGCAAAAAAACTTTCACTTTTATTTTTCCAAGCATCTACAATCTCTAAAAATCCATGTTTAGTATCAAAAAATAGCCCTGAATTTCAGCTTTCATTTGATGCTGAAGCGAAAACTATAGCATAAACTAGTGACGAGAAAAATACGTTTAAAGTTAGACTACACGACGCTTCGACCTATAGGCGGGGGCGCTACTATTAGGATTATTACGGTAAATGACTTTAGGACTCCTTAAACTCACTTCTTCTAGGCACTTTAAACGCACGCAAACCTGGTAAACGATAAAAGCAAACCTACCGTAATACCTCTAATAGTAGCGCCTTCTCCTTGCAAAATTTTTTTACTTTGATTTTTCTAAGCATCTACAATCTTTAAAAATCCATGTTTAGTATCAAAAAATAGCCCTGAATTTCAGCTTTCATTTGATACTTAAGCGAAAACTATAGCATAAACTAGTGACGAGAAAAATACGTTTAAAGTTAGACTACGCGACGCTTCGATCTATAGACGGGGCGCTACTATTAGGATCATTACGGTAAATGACTTTAGGATTCTTTAAACGCACTTTTTCTAGAGTAATGACATTCTGTTATGAGAAAAGGGAAGATTTCAGTGCACTAGAAGATTGCGTTTACAAAATTTGAACACAAAGTACTTTTCAAGGAACGATCTTGCTTCAAAAGTGTCAATGAATTAAAGAGAAAGAGATTTGATTTCAAAGAGAATGCTCGTAAAACTTTAGAATAGAAAAGAATAGAACTTAGAGTAGAAAAGAATGGAAAGGAATGGTACTTATATGCAAATTTAGGCTCATAGTTCTCATTGAGTCGAGAGAAATTGTGATTTGAAAAGAGAAAAAAGGGGAATTGTTGATAGAATGGCCTTGAGAGAGGAAATTATGGATGAAAACGAGAAGCAATCGATATTTATCTCTTTCTAAACATTCTTCCAGCTACCGTAGTCGATTTCTCGATGGATTTGGTGCTGGATTACGGTAGCTGGGGCACTGGAAAGAAGCACGGTACTGTAGGTTACTGTAGTGGGCAGAATGCTACAGTAATCTATAGGTAATCTAGAGCTACAGTAATCTACAGATGATCTAAAGCTACGGCAGAATGTTACAGTAATCTGCAGGGTAATCTAAAGCTACGGCAGAGTGCTACAGTAATCTATAGATGATCTAAAGCTACGGCAGAATGCTACAGTAATCTAGATAATCGAAAGCTACAGTAAACTACAGATAATCTAAAGCTACAGGAATCTTACTCGAAAGCTACAGTAATCCAAAGATAATCTAAAGCTACATTAATCTACAGATAATCTAAAGCTACGGCAGAATGCTACAGTAATCTACAGATGATCTAAAGCTACAGGAATCTTACTCAAAAGCTACAGTTATCCAAAGTAAATCTAAAGATCATCTAAAACTACAGTAATCCAAAGATAATCTAAAGTAATCATAATCTAAAACTGCAATCAAAGCTCAAGAAATTAGAGTACCCAACGCTTTGCTCGAAAACCCTTTCAGAATGCTTAAAAATAAGCCTTTTTAAGATTCCGGTTAATCAAGCTATAAATTGTTGAATAACGAAAATTTCCGGCTCTATTTTACACTTATGACTTTTCTTTATCAACGGAAATCATGCAAATGCTCTTTTTCTTTTGTTACTCATTCGTCGTCAATCAAAACTTATCAAAGCTTTGATTGAAGCCGAAAGGAAAGATGTGAGTCATTTTTTAGAGAAAATGATGAAGCAGACAAAGCGACGCCTTTAGCTCATTGTCTAGCCTAGACGAAGCCTGGCCAGTGTCAAATTTGGATTAACTATTAGGTTAACTATTAGGTTAACTATTAGGTTAACTATTAGGTTAACTATCAGGTTAACTATTAGGTTAACTATCAGGTTAACTATTAGGTTAACTATCAGGATAACTATTAGGTTAACTATTAGGTTAACTATCAGGTTAACTATTAGGTTAACTATCAGGATAACTATTGGTTAACTATTGGGTTAACTATCAGGTTAACTATTGGGTTAACTATCAGGATAACTATTGGTTAACTATTGGTTAACTATTGGGTTAACTTTAGGTTAACTATTGGGTTAACTATCAGGTTAACTATTAGGTTAACTATCAGGATAACTATTAGGTTAACTATTAGGTTAACTATCAGGTTAACTATCAGGTTAACTATTAGGTTAACTATCAGGTTAACTATTAGGTTAACTATCAGGATAACTATTAGGTTAACTATTAGGTTAACTATCAGGTTAACTATCAGGTTAACTATTAGGTTAACTATCAGGTTAACTATCAGGTTAACTATCAGGTTAACTATTAGGTTAACTATTAGGTTAACTATCAGGTTAACTATTAGGTTAACTATTAGGTTAACTATTAGGTTAACTATTAGGTTAACTATTAGGTTAACTATTAGGTTAACTATTAGACTAGCTATTAGATTAGCTATTAGATTAGCTATTAGATTAGCTATTAGATTAGCTATTAGGTTAGCTATCAGATTAGCTATTAGATTCTACAGGTTACTCTATCTGATTCCTGTCCTTATAGAGATGTACTTTGTGCTGAAATCTGTAAACACATCCCTTCTAGTGCATTGTTATGCTACAGTACTCTTTCAAATGAATGTCTGAAAAAGGCGAAAAGTCTTAAGCACAGTTTGAAGTCTTATTTTTGATAAAAAAATAAGGCAAAGAAAAGTAAACAAGCTTTTTCACTATCAAAAGTAATCATAAATCAAAAAAAATGGGCTTAAAATGAATCAGAAAGAGAATATGGGGAAGATTATGAAAAAGACGATCAACAGAATACGGTAAGTTTACACTTTTGAAAGTGTTTGATTGAGAAATTAAAGGAAACCGAGTCAGTGCACCGGGCAAAGCTCGCGTTTACAGCTTTCCTCTTGCTCTTTGTGGTGTACATTGTGCTCAAATTGTCCTTTGTACTTCTAGCGGACTTGTTTTTTTCGATTTCCAAAGCATTAGTGTGAATTCAAAGTACTCAGTGCACTAGAAAGGGTACGTTTTTATGCACAAAGTACACGAAAAGGTCCCTTGATTCGTCCCTTGATTCGAATTCTCCATTTTTCCCTTTTCGTCAATATTTGCGCACGCTTTACAACTATTTATGTCCTCTTTTTCATTGGTAAAAAGAAGGATTTTTAGGAATCTTTTCTTTTCTATCCATTTCTGTAAAAAAAAAGCCGAAAACGGGACAAATTGGGGGGAAAAAGGTGTTGGAAAGAGAAAAATCCACAAATGGATTGATGGATTCAAGGATTACGGTGTTTTGGCGAAAAAAAGCACACATAGAAATAGAAATGAGAGCCGGAAATGGGCTTTGAGAACAAAAGAAAACCAAATAAAGTGAAAGATTTGAATCTAAGATACAAATTTACTGAAAACTTCATAAAAACTGGATGAAAAACGAATCAGAAACGAATGAAATTCATAAAGAGAAGATTTTTAAGCTTTTCGGGTACTGTAAATCGACAGGAAATAGAATTCTGAGAAACAGAAATCGACAGAAATCCGCCGGATTACGGTAATTGAAATCAAGACACCCAGTACGCTAGGAGATGCGTTTAAGCAACACAAAGAACACACAGTAATCAATGAGTTCTGTATAGACATGGTTTTTTGGCAAGGGTCGGATCGGATTGGGCTGGCCCGATTGGTCGAACGTATCGGGTCGGATCGGAACAGGAGAGCCCAAACAATCAGATGGATTGGATCGGGCTAGCTTGACTGGTCGGACCTATTGGATCGGATAGGATTAGGCTAGCCTGATTGGTCGGACCTATCGGATCGGATTGGATCGGGCTAGCCTGATTGGTCAGATCTATTGGCTCGGATAGGATCCGGCTAGGCCGATTGGTCAGATTTATTGGATCGGATCGGATTCGGCTAGGTTGATTGGTCAGACCTATCAGATCGGATCGGATTGGGTCAGCCCGATCGGTTGGAAGGATCGGATCGAATTGGGCTAGCCCGATTGGTCAGACGGATCGAATTGGGCTAGCCCGATTGGTCAGACGGATCGAATTGGGCTAGCCCGATTGGTCAGACGGATCGGATCGGTCCTGATCCAATCCAATCCAATAACCATGTCTAGTACTGTATGCAGTAGAAAGTACTATATATCTGTACAGCAAATTGACGGAAGAAATGGGGAGATATTTGAAGGATTATGGTAGCTCTGCGCAAACGCAAGCTATCTGGCGCACTAGTGAATCATCATAAGGCTCAAGATGGATTTAAAAGGTTTCTTTTCTCACAAAAAGTTTCCGATTTGACCTTTTCTTAGGATTTAGCCTCAAATGCGGTTATTTAGATGCAAATGAGGCGAATTGGATCCGATTAGAAAAGAAAGAGAAAAGAAAGAGAAAAGAAAGAGAAAAGGAAAGAAAAGAGTAAGAAAAATGAAGGTAAATGGGAGAAATCTTCAGCGAAAAGGAGATTTTGACTACAGTTTTCCATACAAATGTACTTTGTGCTTGCAAAAGTGTAAACAAATCCTTTCTAACGCACTGAATCATCTAATTCTTCGAGAAATCGAGAAAATTGAAGAATTCAGTGCGTTAGAAAGGTGCGTTTACGTTTGAGCTCAAAGAACATTCAAAGAAGACTCCGGGAAACGTAAACGCGAGTGATCTGATGCACGAAAGATCTCGGTTCATTTACCCAATCGAAAACGAAATTGAAATCAAATTTCAAAGCTTTGAAAGTGTTCAAAAAAAAGGGAAGCTTTGATTAGTAATGAAATGAAATTGAAAAATCAAAAATGATTAACAAAAGTCGCTTTGTTTTTGGAAATCAAAAAAAAGGAAAATTTCATTGGGAAAAAGAAGAAATTCGGGAAGAGTTCGGGGAAAATTTTCGCCAAAAAAACCTTAGTCATAGTCGGCACAAGAAAGGGGGGAATCGGAAAAGCTTCAGACAAAAACAATATGGAAATTTTACGTATTTGATTCATAGAAATAGGTAAACATTCATAAAATCGGAGAAAATCGCAAGTTTTTCTGAATTTTTTGATTTAAATTTCGAGTTTGAATGTAAATTTTGGAGTTTTAAAGAGAAGAGACGAAAAAACGAAAAGAGCCGAGAAGGAAAAGACGATTGCTCGGGGTGGAACTCGAACCGATGCCCCCTCGACCCCACGGGCAGATCACGAGACCGACCCTCTGCCGACTGCGCTGCGAGGGCGGGTTGACAGGGGCGGTTCGGACTGCCATTAGTCGTTGGCAAAGGGATTTCAGAGCTAATTCAGAGCTAAAATCGCAATTTTTCTCAATTTTTAATTTAAATTTCAAGTTTGAATGTAAATTTTGGGTTTTAAAGAGAAGAGGAGAAAAGACCAAAAGAAGCTTTCTTTGAAGATTTGCTGAAGGCAGGACTCGAACCCATGCCCCCTCGACTCAACGGCCAGAACAAGAGACCGACGCTCTGCCGACTGCGCTATGAGGGCGGGTTGACGAGGGGGGTTCGGGGTGCCATTAGTCGTTGGCAAAGGGATTTTCAAAGCTAATTTCCAGAGGAATTGAACTTGAGAGTTTTTTCTTTTGATTCCAGCCACTTACCACTAAGCTAAGAGATAGATAAAAGATAAAAGATCAATCAAAATCTCAATTATAAGCTAAAAAGTCAATCAAAAGATAAAAGATCAACCAAAATCTCAATTATAAGCTAAAAAATCAATTAAAACCTAAAAGATCAATCAAAATCTCAATTAAAAGCTAAAAAATCAATCAAAAGCTTAATCAAAAGCCACTATTATCAGAAATTTGTTAAGAAAATTCCCGGAACGATGTGAGGAAATTTTTGGCTGATTGGAATTGCGTGCGAGTGATTAATTCGGGTTTGAATCACCGACCCGACCCGTTCATTATTTGAGAGAGAAACGAGAGAAAGAAAACTGAAGAGGCGGGAAATTATTCAGAAAACATCAAAATGAAAACAAAATTTGAGGGAAATTCTTTCGAGAAATGAAATTACAGATGAAAATCAGGCGTAGAAGTCGGCTAAAACATTCGAATATTCGAATTAGGCTTAAATCTATCAGAATTAGGCTTAAATCTGTCAGAATTCGGCTTAAATCTGTCAGAATTAGACTTAAATCTATCAGAATTCGGCTTAAATCGATCAGAGTTCGGCTTAAATCTATCAGAATTCGGCTTAATTCTCTCAGAATCTCTCAGATTCTCTTTTTCTCTCAGAATATTGTTTCATCAGTTTCCCTTCATAAACCAGGATTTTCACGAAAGTCAGGCAAAAAAACAAGGCAAAACAATGAGCTAAGAGGCAAGAAATCAGGTTTAGAACAAGAATTCAATAATATTCGTAAGATAAGATTTAGTTATCAAAAGATATTCAACCAAAGATATTCAACCAAAGATATTCAATCAAAGATATTCAATCAAAGATATTCAATCAAAGATATTCAATCATTTACCTCTTCTTCTTTCGCTTGAGCCACCTCGGCAATCGTTTTTTGGAGTGGACCGGACGGTTGTTCGGTTAACGGCTTTGAAGCGTCCACTTCAGCCGATTGGATCAACTCGGAGATCTGAAACTTCCATATTAACTAGATAAATATACTATTTTCCCTAATAGTCCACCCTGAGCATCGTCTGCTTTCTAAATTACTTGAAATCTCGAAAACCGCTTATCAGAACCTATTGATGTGGGGTCGGAAAATGTAGCTAACGATGAGATCTTGACGATGATTAGAGTGTTGAGCTTGTGTGAAAAACTAGGAAACCGTAAAATGGTTGCAACTCGGCTCGGCCGGGGATGGGAAAATACGGGTATCAGGAGTGTTTCTCGGTTCTGTAAGCCAGGGTTAAAGAACTAGACCAAAGGGCAAGCTGTACTAGACTAAAGTCCATTCTGGCTTCCGCAGAACCCAGCAGATCTGATACACAAAAAGGTTCAGCTCTCGGCTCGGGTTTGGTAAATCTTACACACAGAATCTAAGGGTTGTTCCAAAAAGCGGCCAAACAAGGCTAACAATAAAGCCAAAACTGCTAAAGAGTTTAATCCTGGCCTAGCTGTAGGTCTAGCTACTGTAGGTCTGTAGTTAGAGCTAGAATTGAAGCCAGGCTTGGATCTGGCTCGAGGGTTTGTAGAGCTAGAGCTAAAGCTAGAGCTAAAGCTAGAGCTAAAGCTAGAGCTAAAGCTAGAGCTAAAGCTAGAGCTAAAGCTAGAGCTAAAGCTAGAGCTAAAGCTAGAGCTAAAGCTAGAGCTAAAGCTAGAGCTAAAGCTAGAGCTAAAGCTAGAGCTAAAGCTAGAGCTAAAGCTAGAGCTAAAGCTAGAGCTAAAGCTAGAGCTAAAGCTAGAGCTAAAGCTAGAGCTAAAGCTAGAGCTAAAGCTAGGCTAAAGCTAGAGCTAAAGCTAGAGCTAAAGCTGAGCTAAAGCTAGAGCTAAAGCTAGAGCTAAAGCTAGAGCTAAAGCTAGAGCTAAAGCTAGAGCTAAAGCCAGAGCTAAAGCCAGAGCTAAAGCCAGAGCTAAAGCCAGAGCTAAAGCCAGAGCTAAAGCCAGAGCTAAAGCTAGAGCTAAAGCTAGAGCTAAAGCTAGAGCTAAAGCTAGAGCTAAAGCTAGAGCTAAAGCTAGAGCTAAAGCTAGAGCTAGGCTTTTAAAAACCAGCTCTGTTGTCAAATTTATTCTTACAATAGATCCAAAATCTTACAAATAATCCAAAATTTACATTAAGAACACTAGATTTTAAAGAAAGATCGATTACTCGAGGGAAAAATGCATTTCGGAAATGGCGAGTGATGGGTTGTGTACTTCTGAATCATCATTTTCGGCGGAATTTTTTCAGAAAAACAGAAAAATAGTATTGTTTACGTTTCTATTACTACATAAAATATTAGTATAATAAAAAAAAACCTTGGCTATTCTCGATTGATGAGCCACCGATCTCAAGTGAATGTCTAGCGTTGCTCCTTGTCCATAACTCAATTTGCATAAATTACATCGAAATGGTTTCCGCTCGATCGGTGAAAGTGGAGAGGTGAGCGATTGAAGCTGAAAATGTATCAATAGCTTTAAAATTGAAGAGATTACGGTAGGTCATAGTTGTTCAAATTGGACAAGGGTTATTAAATTTTGAATAAGTTTCTAAGAATGATGAATACTTGTTGAGTTTCTCTTGATGTTCCTTCATTGCTTTCTTCCTTTCTTCCTTTCTTCCCCTTTGTCTTTCCCTTTTTCTCTTGGTAAGTTAAGGTGCCAGATAGTGGTTAGAGCAATTGCAAAAGCAAAAGTTCAAGAGTTCAATCCCAGAAAGCAAAAAGTCGATTCTTCAATCCATCTCCGGAAATCTTTCTCTTGACAATTCTTTTACTTCTTTATTAGGGTATTCTAAAAGGATCAGGTAGTTGACTGACTATAAACCTTGGCTAAAGTACGTTCGCTTTTCTCTAACAATAAGTCTAGGACTTCTGATCTGTCCAAACCAGAATTTGGCCCTGGAAAAGCTTTTGACCACTCTTGACCTAGTGGCAAGTGGCTGGGAACGAAAGAAAAAACTCTCAAGTTCAATTCCACTGGAAATTAGCTCTGGAACTGCTTTGCCAACGACTAATAGCTCCCCGAATCTCCTGGTCAAGCTGCTTCCGTAGCGCTAGGCGTGAGTCTCATAATCTGGCCCGGAACTCGAGGCGGTGAGTTCGAGTCTCACAAGGAGCAATTGTCATTTGAATTCTTGTAAAATTTTCCAAAATTATTCAAACTTTAAATTTAAATGGAAAATTGATATTTCTCCCATGTTTATCTATTTCCGAGCCAGCTAGAAGCGATCTAGAAGCCATCTAGAAACCTAGAATAATCGACTGCTCTGGTCCGAGCCGAATTTCGGGAAACTTGTAAGTTAAAAGTAAAGCTACAGAATAAGCTGTATATCTTATACATTTTCTAAAAAGTTATTTGAAATTCGGGTAGCTGAATTTGCGAGTGAATAGGCTCAGGCTTAGGCTCAGGCTTAGGCTTAGGCTTCGGCTCAGGCTTAGGCTTAGGCTTAGGCTCAGGCTCATAGCTGTAGCTGAGTGTCTATTTGAGTCGGAGTTCGACAAAGTTTTAACGTTTAAAGCTACAGTATACCTGTAGCTGTAGTTGAAGATCTTTATTGTAAAATAATCTCACCTGATTATTCAAATCGATTCCCCCTTGCTCGAGATGTCGCTTCGCTTTGTGCAAGTGCTGAACCGAGTTGAGATGGGCCAACATTTGGGTTTTGTCCGCGAATTGTTCAACGCACAACTCACAGTAAAGCTTTCTAAAAAGGAAATTTATCTAACAAATCTATCTGTCTCATAAATTTTCTCAATAAATTAGCAACTTCAAAGGAATTGCCGCAAAGAGACGGAAATTAGTCACAGAAAGTTGGGGCGGATTTTATGGAAACTTAAGTTTTTGTGGAAATGGAAAATTTGATTAGCTTTCATGGCTGTGCTTTAGAATATCTATTTATCTTTTTTGCCATCTACAAAGAGAAATCCCTGTGTAAAAAGGTTGAGCAAGGTGTTCTTTGTGCGTTCTTTGAGCGCCCGGCTAATCGCTCGCGATCTGGCAAATGGCGCTGGCATAAGGGACCCCTCTTTTCGAGTTTTTCAGAAATTTTTTTTTAGATTTTTAGATTTTTAGAAATTCCGACTCCACAGCCTCGTTCAGACACCGTTCGGGAAAACGCACATCCAATCAATAATGGCTCTCGCATCTATTTCATCCAACTGAATTACTTCTCTACTTTGTCTAGAAGTAAAGAAATCAGCTTTGCAAACGACCGCTCCCGCTCGTGAAATTAGCACTATTTTTTATGAATACATTCTTGTTTTAGAATTTTCCACATCATTTGAAAAGTCGGTGGTCGATTGAGCCGATTTTTGTCTTTTTTAGCGTCACGCCCAAATTCTTGGGATCAATTTTTGCCGTTTTTACCTATATTTTCCTATTTTTAGCATTTTTTTTGCGTTTTTTGCATTTTTACAAAATATTTCTGTATTTTTCCGATAAATACTGGATCTTGTTAAACAATTGGATGATTGAAACAGCACCTAAATTGAGCGCAAAATGCGATCCGAGTTGAGAGTTTTGTCTCCCGATTTTCTGGGGATTAAGTAGCTCACGCAAACTATATTTGGTGTCATTTGAAAGCCTGAAATGTTCTCTTTACAATGATATAAAAAGTTGACACTATTATGGTCTCTGGACAATGTTATAAGCCGTCAAAGCTTGGCCATTCTTTACTGGCCAGCTTAGTCACTCTTAGCTGGCCAGTTTACCACTACCACTTCTTCAAAATGCTCAAATTTCGGCCAATACTCAAATCTATCAACTATTCCATTGAGTTTACATCAGATTCATGAATTTTCTTGCACCGTAGTCGGTATTTATAAATAAAGAGATGAATGAAGGGGGTTTCTCGAAGTTTTCGCCGAATCGCAAGATTTTTGAGGCAAATTTTCTCAGCATTAGTTGGTCGATAAAAACTAGAAACTAAGGCTGGGCCAGAGTCTGACTTTTGTCTAAAACACAGTCAGAAATGAGGCTAGGCTGTAGTTTTTTTCTCACCTCTCCTCTTCAGGATGTTCCTTGTTCATGTGGTCGATGAGTGCGTCGGCCGACTCGCCCGCCTGGCCACAAAATGGACAAGCATGTTGACCCTAGAATTTCCACATTAGATAGATATCTATATCTATATCTATTAGCTATATCTATTAGCTATATCTATTAGCTATATCTATTAGCTATATCTATTAGCTATATCTATTAGCTATATCCATATCTATATCTATATCTATATCTATATCTATATCTATATCTATATCTATATCTATATCTATTAGCTATATCTATTAGCTAAAAAATTGAATATCTATAGTCTATTTTACCTTGAACACGTGACTCAAAGAATGTTGCTGTAGACCGGTCTCGTTTTTGAATGCTAACGGACACGAGGGGCAACGGAAAGCGAATTGATCACCGGCGACACTAAAAAATCGTGCTTTGTGCTCATTTTTGTAAAGAAATCCTATCTGACGCACTGAATTCGTCAATTTTTCAGACAGAAATGCTATATCAAGAGAAAAACGAAGATTTCAGTGCACTAGAAGGGCACAAAATGACCACAAAATGAGCCCAAATTACAAATAAGCATAAAAACCGTATAAAGAATTGGATAAAGCTGTTAGTTTGTATTTAGAATGAGAAGAATTCTCGAAAAAAAATCGAACGGCCGTTCATTTCGTTCGACTGTTTCGATCTTTTCGATCGTTTTTCCTTTCTTTCACCGTTTTTCCGAATTCCGATCGGGAAAAGAATGGTTAAACAAAAGAAAAATCGCGGCGATGGATGGAGTGAGTAATTTGAGATCCGGAGAAACAAAAGAAGGAAAAAAAAAAGAATTAGAAACAATGGGAAGAAAAGCTAATTTCTTGATTCATTTGTACTGTTTAGATTTGTACTTTTTAGTCGTAAACGCACGCTTTCTAGCGCGCTGAATTCTTCATTTTCTTGTTTGAAACGATTTGATATCGTGAGAAAAGTGATGAATTCAATGGGCTAGAAGGTTTACGTTTACAAACTTGAGCACAAAGTACACCCTGTCGTACATCAGATTCAGATGATTTTTGACGATTTATATAGGATTTATACCGTATTTACTCTATTAGTGGGGTCCCCCACTATTTTTTCAATCCCCTTCCAGACGACCCCACTATTAGAGAGGACCCCACTATTAGAGAAATTTAAAAGAACATAAAACCAAAGTTTTAAATTGAAAAGATATCAATTTTTCTCCGAAATTCTTGACAAAACAAGTTTGGCTTCATATTTTATTTAGCTTTAACCGTAACAAAACATTAACAAACAGTAAAAGAACTAATCCAAGAGATCAACAATTGATGTATCACTTTCGTTACCAATATTAGAGAGGACCCCACTATTTTTTCAACCCCCCTCCAGACGACCCCACTATTAGAGAGGACCCCACTATTAGAGAGGACCCCACTAATAGAGTAAATACGGTAGTCTATTTATATCAGATTTTAGACTATTTATATAGGATTTATAGTCTAAAATCCTATTTATATAGAATTTATAGACTGTTAGCCTTTTCGATTGGGCAATTTGAACAAAAATCTTCAACTCTTAAAGCTCGACTGGTGTCTGACGATCGACGATCGATTTGACGATCGATCTTCTTTAAAGTTCGATTGAGTGATCAAAACCGAATGACACCACGAAGTGACACCGCGCCGTCAGGCGCTTGCGACGGAGCCGCTACCGGGCCAATGGAATTGGGGTGGAGGGGGCACCTATCTTTACTTTATTACTTATTCGAACCAACCCTTGAACCCAAAAAGCTAAAAAGTTTACGTCAAAATGGCATTTTTTCGGTATAAAACGTAAAGTTACGCCTTATTGCCGGCCTAGTGGTAAGTAGCTTGATCTGCGGCTCTCTCGATTTTGAATCGAGTTCGAACCCCGGTTCGAATCCGGCCTCGGACAAAAGGCAAAGAGATTTGATACGAAATAGGTCAAGCTTTATTGAGAAAATTGGTGGGGAATTCAATGCGCTAGAAGTTTTGCGTTCACAGAAAAAGTACGACCGAAGTCAAGTTCAAAAAAAGTGCCAGAAAACTCACGGTAGAATGTCCGCTTTGTGCACGGCGAGCAATCTCTCCACGGCAGCTTCAGCGATTTTGTGTTCCTGGAAATTGTAGAAAATTAAATAAATCAAATAAATGAAAAATAAGGATTAAAATGAGTTGCTTGGCAATTTCTCGGGTCGATTTTGGTCGTTTTGGTCGATTTTGAAATAAGGAAAAAGTCGCAAAACGAATTGAGAACCGAGGGGAAAAATTGGAAGAGAAAAAATGGTTAAATTTTCATCAGAAAATGAATTGATAAGCATTTAAATGAAAGATTTTGATGGAGCTTTGAAATATTGAATTGATTCCAATTAAAGAGCCGTTTTTAGACGAAAATGCTCATTCAAAAGAGTTTAAAAGAAAAGAAAAACAAATAAAAACAAAGAAAAACAAAGAAAAACAAAGAAAAATAAAGAAAAACAAAGAAAAACAAAGAAAAATAAAGAAAACAGTCAAGTTTCAAAAAATTACGACAAATTAGACGAATTTAGACGAATTTAGACGAATTTAGATCGAAATCTGTCATTTTTAGATCGAAATTTGTCATTTTTAAACAAAAGAGTTGAAGTTTTTAACTCTTGAATAGTATTTTCAACTCTTGAACTGTATTTTCAACTCTTAAATAGTATTTTCCACTTGTGGATAGTAAAATGGTTAACTTTTAAAAGAATTTCAAAGACTATTAATTAATAATAGACTAAAAAAAGCTTAATAAAGATGAAAAGAAAATGAAAAACTAACAAAAAACTAACAAAAAACTAACAAAAACCTATTTTTTTAAACTCTTGAAAGTTTTGATATGTGAAAAAGAAAAGAATTCAAGAAATCCATTCAAGAAATCCATTCAAGAAATTAAAAAGAATTGAAAAATTGAATGTTTAGAAGAGCTTTAGAATGTTTACGGTAATTCGTTTAGATTTCGGTTAGATTTCGGCTCGATCTAGATTTCAAATCGGTAAAGCAAACCTGGATGAGGTGCAGATTGAGCACGGGTGGACGCTCGTTGCACAATGGGCACTGTTCGCCTAGCTCGTGCACTTTCGAGTGCTCTTCTAGGTCTCGTTCTTCTTCTGAAATGTGATTTGTTGGCTTTAATACCGTAGTTGGCTATTTTGTCTTTCAATTTTCTTTATTTTCTCTTTCATTCTTTCAATTTTTCTTTCAAACTTTCATTTTTTTCTTTTAAACTTTCATTTTTTTCTTTTAAACTTACAATTTTGCCTTTAAACCTACAATTTTTTCTATCTTTTATTCTATCTTTTAACTTTAAATAATCTTTTTACGTAATCAAACCAAAGCCAGCTACAAAATAAGCTTAATTGAATAAACAAGTCCAAGAAAATCAAAGCCAACTTCAACCAATCGACTTCCGATCCAACACACAGTATTCCTTAGTTTTCAAGAGAATCAAAAATCTAGTTAAGCTTTATTTGATATCATTAGAAAGCCTGAAATGTCCTCTATCCAATGATATAAAAAGTTAAGAATAATCTCATTTCTGAGAAAAGTTATAGATCGTCAAAGATTGGGTACTCGTTTAAAATACCCGAATTTTTTACCAAAATATATCGGATTTGATTCTCTGCTCCTGGTCATTTAAACCAACTCTATTTGGTATCATTTGAAAGCCTGAAATGTCCTCTATCCAATGATATAAAATGTTAAGAATAATCTCATTTCTGGGTAAAGTTATAGACGGTCAAAGATTGGGTACTCGTTCAAAATGCCTAGATTTTATTCAAAAGACGAAACTTCTTATACCCAATGTTTCTTATCTCTAAATTACTTATAATTTGAATTTAGATTCTAACTTCTTCTGATTTTTCTGCTAGTTACTCGAATTTTAGTTGATTAGCTGAGTATTTCGCATTTTTTTGCGTTTTTGGGTTTTAAAACGGCATTTTCGCTTTATTTAGGCTATTTTTCTTACTGGATTCGTTTGAAGCACAAATTTTTTCACATTTTTCATCTTTTTATTTGTTTTTATTCAAAAATCTCTTCTCTAAAGAGGTTTAGAGAAGAGTTTTTATTTTAAATTCTATTTTAAAGTTCTTTTTCATGAGCTTTTTCATGAAAAAGCTTTGATTTGAATACAAATTTCTAATTTGCGATAATCAAAAGCACCGCTTTCGCAAAGAGGAACGAGAGAAGCGAATTTTTATGGCTAATAATGAATTTATTAGATGCAAAACTATTTTCACACTTGTGAAGAAAAGAAAAGAGAAAAGAGAAGAAAAGAGAAAATGAGCTGCCAATATTTAATTCCAATAATAATGGTTTTTGGAGAGAAATCAAAGAAAAGCCGACGAAAGATGAAAAAGGGGGAAAAGTGATTGAATTAAATGTGATTAGGTATTGATTTTAGATCAGAAATTATTGAAAATATTCAAATTCCCTTCAAATCCTTCAATTTCCTTCAAATTCCCTTCAAATCCTTCAATTTCCTTCAAATTCCCTTCAAATCCTTCAAATTCCCTTCAATTTCCTTCAAATTCCCTTCAAATTCCTTCAATTCCCTTGAAATTCCCTTCAATTCCCTTGAAATTCCCTTGAAATTCCCTTGAAATTCCCTTCAATTCCTTCAAATCCTTCAAATCCTTCAATTCCCTTCAAATTCCCTTCAAATTCCCTTCAAATCCTTCAAATTTCCTTCAAATTCCCTTCAAATTCCCTTCAATTCCCTTCAAATCCTTCAAATTCCCTTCAAATTCCCTTCAAATCCTTCAAATCCTTCAAATCCTTCAAATTCCCTTCAATTCCCTTCAATTCCCTTCAATTCCCTTCAAATTCCCTTCAAATTCCCTTCAAATCCTTCAAATTCCCTTCAATTCCCTTCAATTCCCTTCAATTCCCTTCAAATTCCCTTCAAATTCCCTTCAAATTCCCTTCAAATTCCCTTCAAATTCCCTTCAAATTCCCTTCAAATCCTTCAAATTCCCTTCAATTCCCCTCCTTCAATTCCCCTTCAAATTCCCTTCAAATTCCCTTCAAATTCCCTTCAAATCCTTCAAATTCCCTTCAAATTCCCTTCAAATTCCCTTCAAATTCCCTTCAAATCCTTCAAATTCCCTTCAATTCCCTTCAATTCCCTTCAATTCCCTTCAAATTCCCTTCAAATTCCCTTCAAATTCCCTTCAAATTCCCTTCAAATCCTTCAAATTCCCTTCAAATCCTTCAAATTCCCTTCAAATTCCCTTCAAATCCTTCAAATCCTTCAAATCCTTCAAATTTTTACATAATCAAACCAAAGCCAGCTACCAAATAAGCTTAATTGAATAACCAAGTCCAAGAAAATCAAAGCCAACTTCACTTGATTGAATAACCAAGACAAAAAAGCAACAATTTAAATCCCAAAAGTTTCTCTATTGAATTTTTTGTTTCCTTTACCAACTCAAGACTCAAGACTCAAACCAAGACTCGCAAAATTCTTCAAATTCAATGTTTCTTCTTTAGAAATTCATTCTTAACTCTTTCAAGGATTCAAAAAAGAAAAGATTTCATGATAAATCTGCGTATGGAGCTCTGAAATCAATTAATTCGACTTACTTGCAGTGAATGAGCATGCAGCACACGCGTAAGCTTGCTCCTCGTCCATCACTACTGCATCAGAGCCTGGAATTTTAGAAATAACATGATTTTAAAGCAACGAATGTATAGAGAACAAAAGGCAAAGAAAATTCTTTCATTAGTGTTATCAGTTGGAAAAGAGAAAGAAGAGAAAATTGGAAAAGGGAAGAGAGGATACAGTAGGCTAACATTCTTGAGTTGGTCAATGACATTTTGACAGTCATTAGTCTATTTCAAACTAAAAGCTAATGATTTAAGAACATTATATAGAAAATTTACTATGTATGCTATGTATTACTGTAATTTACTATGTAATTTATTATGTAATTTACTATTATTACCGTAAGAAAGACGTTGAATTAGTTCTAGAAACAATTTTGATTTCATTTCAGTTAAAAGTTGCCATTTTTGAGTTATTGGTTTGATAAGGCATCCTTTGGAGACACGGCTAGCTGCCCTCATGGCTCAATGGTAGTGGGGCCGACTGCCAGTCGGGCGGTCTCGGTAGGTTGACCTGGTTCGACTCCAGTCGACGAAGTGCTCCTTTCCTTTTTGTTTTTTTAGAGAAAGCAGGGTCAGTACCTGTTTACCTGCCCTGGTTGGAAGCCAGGATTACCTGAGCTAGGCAAGGTTAGGCATAGGGTCTGGATCAGAAGTCAAATCTTGGCCTGGCTGGGAACGGATTAACTGGATCAGATCCGGATCCGGATCAGTCCAGTGTACCCGGATCAGTCCAGTGTACTCGGAATAGTTCAGTGTACCCGGGTCAGTCTAGTCCAGCTAGATCTGACCAACCTGAATTACATCAACAGGTCAACAAAGCTAAGAGCTATAAGGCTGAGATGAGAACTTGGATTCGAAGTCGAATCCAAGTTCCAAAAAGATTCAAATTAAATGAGATCAGACCAGATCAAATCCGAATCGAATCAGATTTGTTTAGATCTAATTATAGCCAATAGCCTATTACAGTACTTGCATAGTACCGTAATCAGTAAGCTTTAGCTAAACAAAGCAGTCAAACGAATCAAAGCCAACATTGAAATGAGGAGAAAGTTGGAGAGAAACGAGGCCAAATTCCTCAGCTTGGTCCAATTTGGGGCGCTTATTTGGAGGAAAAGGGGATAGAGAGGAAGATTGGATGTGGGGGGAAAGGAAGAAGAAGAAGAAGAAGGAGAAGAAGGAGAAGATCTTCGAATGGATAGTGAAATGGAGAAAATCGAAAGGGAGACGCCCAATTTGGCCCCATTTCCACCAATTTGTCCCCCTTTTCAATCTTGGTCGTCTCTCTTTTCAAATCGAGAAATGAGCTCTTACTTTTGGAGGCTACTGTGGGTGAGATTTGATAGCTGGATGTGAAAAATGAAAGATGTTAAGCTTTATCTCAAATTGTAAGGCTGATGTGAGGACGAAAAAAGATGTTAATACTTTTGTGCCTCAAGTAGTTTGTAGTATTGTTAAGTTTGGGAATGAATGGGAATCAAATGAGAACTGAATTGGAGTCGAATCGGAGCCGAATCGGAGCCGAATCGGAGCCGAATCGGAACTGAATCGGGAGGGAATCGGAGCCGAACTGAAGCCGAATCGGAACTGGATCGGAGCCGAATCAGAGCCGAATCGGGAGCGAATCGGAGCCGAATCAGAGCCGAATCGGAGCCGAATCAGAGCCGAATCGGAGCCGAATCAGAGCCGAATCGGAGCCGAATCAGAGCCGAATCGGAGCCGAATCGGAGCCGAATTGGAACTGAATCGGAATTGAGTCGTAGCCGAATCGAAGCCGAATCGGGAGCGAATCGGAACTGAATCGGAGCCGAGTCGGAACTGAATCGGAGCTGAACCGGAGCCGAATCGGAGCCGAATTGGAACTGGATCGGAGCCGAATCGGAGCCGAATTGGAACTGAATCAGAGCTGAACCGGAGCCGAATCAGAGCCGAATCGAAAGCGAATCGGAGCCGAATCAGAGTCGAATCGGAGCCGAATCAGAGCCAAATCAGAGCCGAATCAGAGCCGAATCGGAACTGAATGAAAACCGAAGTTGTTAAGATGAAATTCTGTTCTTCTTCTTGTTCTTCATCAGATTATTGTAAAAGCAATTTTTCATCATTTTCACTCTCTCTTCAAAATCATTTTCTATCACTAAATCTGTTTTGATAAAGTTTTCTTTCTTTCTTTCTTTCTATTGGGCATAGGATCTGGATCAGAAGTCGGGTCTTGGCCTGGCTGGGAACGGATTAACTGGAGCAGCTCCAGATCCGGCTCAGTCCAGTTCCAGCTAGATCTTTCTTCTTTCTTCTTTCCTTTCTTTCCTTTCTTTCCTTTCTTTCTTTCTTTTAAACATTTTCAAATCAAATTTGATCAAATTCGGATTAATTTTTTTAAAAAAAGCACAAGTTTTGCCTAAAAAAAAGAACTTTAGGGGTTTAAGACAGGGTTTAAAAGAACTAAATCTTTTTCTTTTGTTAAAACCATAGATCTTTTGATGAGTTTATCATTTTAAAAAGAAAAATACGAAAGCCTCCACCTAATAGCTTTACCAAATTCCTATCCACTTCGAAATTGAGCTCATCTCCCGCACAAAATCCTCCTCATTTCATCGAGTTCTTCTCCCTTTTTCCTTTCCTACCAGTTCTCTTGGGATTCTTTCCATATAAAGGAGAGAAAAAGCTGATTGCCGAACCCGATAACGAGCCAACTATGGAAGAGAGGATCCACTCACAAATTGGCCGTCTAAAGGCCGTCTAAAGGCTGTCTAAAGGCTCTTCTCCTGGACTCTAAAAGCTGCCTTTAACTCTCCGACAAATTTCGGGAATCTTCTCCGAAATTTCTCTCCAGTTTTTCCCATTTCTTCAGCTATCTCTTCTAAATTTGTACAAACAATCGTTTTCTTTTACGAAAGAATTTCACTGACTAGAAAATTTCAAGGAAATGGGAAATTTTGCATTTTCATTTCAATTTTGCGTCTTGGTTGAAAAAGTGGAAAGTTTAAGAGGTTTTCGAATGAGTTTTGCAGAGTTTTCGAGTTTAGAATGGATTTCAGTATGAGTTTAGAATGGATTTTAGAACGGATTCAATCAATTTAGAGTCAGATTTTGATTTTTGATCTAGCCTTTCGCTCACAGTTCGCTAAATATCTTTTCTACTTGGCTTTTGATTGATTAAACCCTATTAGGACTGAAAAGACTGAAAAGACTGAAAAGATATTCATCTTGCCTAATTGAATGTAAATTTTGTTGTAAATCTGATCTAGACGGATTCTAGATCGGACATCCGAGCTAGAGGAAGTGAGGTCAAACGTCGGAACTAGAATCAAGCCGATCACTCTGGATCAGGCGTCTGATTTAGAGTGATCGGCTTGATTTTGTAAGTCTGTAAATCCGATCTAGACGGATTCTAGATAGGACGTTCGATCTAGAGGGAAGTGAGGTCAAATGTCGGATCTAGAAATCAAGTCGATCGAAATCAGACTCTAAATCAGACGTCTGATCCAGATTTAGACTGAGGCTTGATCTCTCAAGATCAGACGTTTGACCTTATTTCACTCTAGAGCGGACTCTAGAAATCTAGATTCTAGATCGGAAAAACATAAATCTCAAAAAGCCAAAAAGCCATGGAAAAATTCCGCGACCGGACTCGAACCATTTCCCTGCCGAGACCGTTGGACTGACAGTCCGCCCCACTGCCACTGAGCCATAGGGGAAGCTAGACAGGTCTCCAAAGGATGCCCTATCAAGTCAATAACTCAAAAAGGCCATTTTTCAAATGAAATGAAATGAATGCAAATTTAATAGAAAAACTTCAAAAATGAAATCCTGCCTCTTTTTTTTTGATTCTCAAAAATGCAATCACCCGTTTTGTATTATTATTTTGAAGTGGACGGAGAGATCAGCGGGAAATCGCATTAATTTTCCTATCTCTCTCCCTCACAATGATCTCATTTCACTACCGTAATCTGATCTATAGAGAAAGAATCTCTTTTCGCAATGAAATCATAAGAAAAACGATGAGAAAACTGAGTAAAAAAGAGAAAAAAGGAAGAAAAAAGGAGAAAAAAGGAGAGAAAAGGAAGAAAAAGAAGAAAAAAGGAAGAAAAAAGGAAGAAAAGAAGAAAAACGAGTGTTCCAGATTGGGTATGTTTCCTAGATTCAGGGTTTTATCTACTTTAAGGGTTTTCAGAGTCAGAGAATCGTCAGAGAATAGAGAAAATCGTTTAGAGAACATTTTATTGTCTCTACTAAGTTATAACTCAATAAATTTATCTAGGTTTTCATCAAATTTATCTTATAAACTGGATTTCAAAAGATTTCAAAAGAATTCAAACGAAATTTCAAAAGAAAATGACGAATCAAGTGTCCCAGAAACAATGTGTTTACAAGGAAACACGCAAAACTTCGAGTACTTTGTGCTCGCTCGTAAACGAACCCTTTCCACTGCACTGATTTCGCATTTTCTCGAGAAAAACGACGAATTCATTGCACCAGAAGGCTGGGGTTTACAAATTTTCGCACAAAGCACAGAAATTTTCGTTTCACAAAAAGAGAATATGAATTTTTCGTTAAAAAAAAAAAAGAGTAAAAATCTGTTCTTCTCCACTTTCCGCATCACATTTTAATTCCCCTTTTCCCAAATTTCACTCAAATTTTCGTGTAAACGATACAAAAGACTTCTCTCTTTTTTCTCTCCTATTCAATTCATCGTTTCCATTTTCTCCATTTTCTCCATTTTTCTCCTTTTTTGTCCATTTTTCCTCTTTTTCCTCTTTTTCCTCTTTTTCCACTCTTTTTCCTCTTTTTCCACTCTTTTTCCCCTTTTCTTTCCCTTCAAATTCTCAGTCACGCTCCAAAAATTCGATGAAAAAGTCTTTAAAAAGTCTTTTTGTCAAATGAATTGACGGAAATCCGAAATCCGATTTGGGATTTAGGGGAAATTGAATGGAAATGGATTGATCAGCTTAGGAAGAGATTTTCAACGAATCAATCAGGTTTTATGCGGGGAAAATGAACGATTTTAAAGTGAAAATGAACGATTTTGAA